CTGCCGACGAGACCTGCCGCCAGGTCGGGGGGACTACTACCGGCCCTTATGTAGAGGCCCAGTCATTTTACCTCAGCTTTTTGGAGTGCTGTGAGAAAAAATACAAAAAACATTTTTCGACTTTCGCAACAGACTCAATTATCAGAATGGACTTCATCCGCAATTCCTTATCTCAATGAAAACCAAATATTGATTTCAACTGAAGTCAAAAACGACAGAAGTAATTTTAGCAAAATAAAATTTTTCATCACAAGTGGAAGATGCATAAGAATCAAAAACTTTGGTTTCAGGATGGCACTCGCGAATCTTTACATGGAAATTCAGTGGCTTACGATCATAGTGAAAGATAACACAAGGACTTCCATCGAGGAACATCTGAAGCTCACAGAAGAAGCCATGGGAGGACAAGTTTAGGCGACGCTAGCGATCAGAAGTGACTGCAATCATCTGAAAGAAGAACTGAGCCATCAAGAAGATCCCATAGAGCAGTAATCGATTGCCAGCCGCTACATCTCAGCGCAAGCGCGATCAAGAAAAAATACTTGATGTATGCAACGCTACGCGTTCCTATACAAGTATCACGGCTTACAATTCCCTCCAAGCACAAGTTCGGACAGCTCACGACCATGTCCACGGAAGTACATTGGCGCCATGGTTTTGGAGATGGACTAATACACGAAACAAATGGAATGCCTAATCAAAAAGCTCGATAAGGACAACAGAAGATGGGTAGAAATGCTCTTTGGAAAGAAGCCGGAGCAGCGATAAGGAAAGAAGGATTATAAGAAATCTAAAACACAAGTTATCAAGACAAGACGAGGAGCTGTTTGTACTGAAAGCTAGCATGCACAAGTATGGAAAGGCGTGTGTAAAGAAGCGAAGCGGGATGTCAAGCAAATCCCACCCTGGAAGAAAACGGAACGCGGACAGAAAAAAGATTGTCAGACAAGATTGAAGAAGATGTAGAGTCGCCAAACGTTTTTAATGACAGCGAAATGGAAGTAAACGAGCTTGTCGTGATGGCTGAGGCAAGCAGCAACTCCGAAGAATCACCCTTAGATAAACGGCTTCCGCAAATGGTGCAAGAAACAAGAGGACGAGTTGATGCTGAAAGGAAAGCAGATGAGGAACAAGTACAAAGAAGAAAAGAAGAATGCAAGAAGTCGAAGAAATCAGTCAGACGGAAAGGATACTACAACTTTCCGCATCGTCAATTCGGGCGAGCAGCGCGAGGAACGCACGTACAAGTCTGTGCGTTTTGCAGAACATGTGACCACCATTACTCAGACTCTTGCCCAAGAGTAAAAGATGCAAGTGCCAGGTATGAGCTGATAAGAAGGGACGAGCTTTGCCACCTCTGCCTTGAACCTTGCCCCAAAGAGCAGTGCCGCTTTGACCCGAGGCCCTGCTTCTACGTGAGAAATTGAAGGGCACCATCGTAGAAGGCCTCATCCCCAGGAGCAGACACCATAAAGCAATCTGCGCGGTGCCCGATGCCAAAGATACAGTGAGGAGATAGCTGAGCCAACTAAGAGGATGCTATGCGTATGTAAGATGGGAGCTGGTCAACGTCAGAGGATCACGTCATTGAGCTGAAGAATGTGCGGCGGGATTGTCGCCAAAGGCGACCTGCATACTAAAGTGAGATCATGTTGATGTTTTGTTTATTTTATTGTTTATGTTTATTCTTGTTTGTGTTGATTCTGTTTATAAACTTTATTGTTGGAACAGTACCCGCAACGGAAGTAGCTGACCAGACAAGTAAGTACAAGTCAAGCAAAGACCCTATCACCAGTTTATCATTGTTCCAGCATTAACTTGACTACACAAGTTAAGCTGGAATGTTGCCTGCATTCCATACTTAAAAGTGGAGCAGGTCAGAGCGCAAAGCATGTTACTCTTGCCTAGAAAATTGCCCCTTGTCCCATGCGCGCAAGCCATTCTCAAAAGCTTGCAATTCTCCATGACACGTCAGGGATGGCATGCCTAATGCTGTAGACAGGAGGGTCTCACAAGGACTCTACGTCTCTAACCATGGCGGTAAGCGTTCCACTTGTCCAAATTCAGAAAGAAGGGATTTGGAAAATAATGGTTTTCGCCATTTTCGCGCTTTCAAAAGTGAAAATGGCGAAAAAAATTCTGAATTCTTCTAAAATCACCGCGTTGAATTACTCAAGGTAAGCGAAAAAACCACAGGTCGAGGATTTGCCGAGCCACTGCCTTCAAACGCTCTCACCAACTGAAAATAATGCGTCTTGCAATTTTATTGTAGTCCTACTTTCGTAAAACACTGCCTTTAAGTTTGAAAAGTGTGTCTAACTTTATTGCGATTCATACTCAAAAACTGGGACTTAGGATTAGCGCTTGACCATTCCGCCTGCAGTCTTATCTCTATGATTTTGACGGGTTGCATTCTCTTTTTCAAATGGAAAGCTGCAAGGAAAACTGGTGGGTAGCTAGGAAGTTAACTAAACTCATACTCCTTCGATAGATGCTCTTATTATGTATGCAGATCGAGGCATGTATATATACTTGGTGTCCCAAAAGTAAGTACACACTTTTCAATCGTTAATATCTCTCTTCCTATTGCGTCCTTTCCCGCCTTTTATTAGGTTGGCACATAAGTTTTGCAACTTTTCCCATAACTTTTTTCCTATTTTATGTAGCAATCTCATTTTCTGGCATCATGTAGATCGTGATGTAAGCTACAACTCTGCGCAAACCGTTTGATTTTTGATAACGTAGTACAAAAAATCTAAGCATTTTTTGAAAACTGCTGAAAATCGAGGTTTCACGATTTTTTGGCAAACATGAAGCCCTACGAAACCTGATTCAAACATATGAAAAAGCAATTATAGGCAGCATGTAGCTGGAAGTTGGCACATTGGAATCAGTGAAAAAGAAATGGAATTTAAACACAAATTAAGGTGGGGCACCTTTGAGAAGTTAAACAAGTCAAATGCGTCAAGTTTTGAAGGCAATTTGTCGATAACTAAGCTGCGAAAAGTCAGAATTCGCTATAACTTTGCACTATAGGGTAATCCTATGCGATAAACACGAATATCATATTCATTTGTCGCTAAAATGAAATTTATTTTTTGATCTCACGAACGAGGCCTTTTCATGCGAAACGGATCTCATTTTTGTGATCAGCATGTCAAATAAGCCCTATTGGCCAAGTTTCAGCAAAATCTGATGCATTCGAAAATTTTTCCCGTAGTACCGTAAACCTACCGTAATCCTTACATAAGATGGTAAAATTCGGCAAAAATGTGTGCATTAGAAGCTTACATCATATTCCTTATGTTGTCAAAAAATGGATGCGCTACGTTCAAATAGACAAAAGTTATACAAAAAGTTGCATTACTTATGTGCCAACCTAATAAGTACCATTCTGTAGAGGAGGCTTCAGCTTAGATATATTGTATGGAGTGAACCACCGATCGCTCTTCATTACTGTAGGATTAGTGTAGGAACTTCGACAAGGATTTTAGGCCATTGGAAGCCATATTCTGCCTTGAGACAAAATTAAACGAGCCGAATACCCTACTTTGGTTGTGGAAGCCGCTGATTTCGAATATGAAATTTCCACTTTACTGTGATGCTTCTTTCCAAAGTTATCCCGGGTAAACCGTAATAACCAAATTCTCAGTATTTGTCAGAAATGTGATTGCACCGTCAAAAAAGCTGAAAACACTCGTAAAACGTTGTGTAGTGGAATCAGTGTGCGCGAAAACCCTAGTACACAATTTTTCAAATTTTTCGGAAAGAGTTTTGTCAGATGGCATATTTTTCAATGATTCCACATGCTGGAAGTTCTTACCGTAATCCCACAGTAATGAAGGGCGATCGATGATTCGATCGATACTCCAAAACTAAGCTGAAGACTTCTCTACAGAATGGTACTTGACTAGCAAAAAAAGACACATTGGGAAGAGAGGTATTGGCGATTGAAAAGTGTGTACTTACTTTTGGGACACCCTGTAGTGTATATTGTATATATAGTGTATATCTTATATATAAAGCTGAATGTCTGTTTGTCTGTATGTCTGTATGTCTGTATGTATGTACGTATGTTCCGAATAGAAAATTCCATTTCTGAACCGATCGGGACCAAACTTCACACATACACTTCGGGCCCCGGCGGGTGTCATAGGCTACTTTTCGTATCGATCGATATCGATTTTATCGATTTTTTGCAAAATTTGAGCTACGGGGCTGGGAGTTGGCACAGGGGGGTAAGTGAGCATGGGGATTCCAAATACAATATTAGTTTTAAAAACCGTGCATTACTTTAATCGATTTTATCGATTTTTTTGCAAAATTTGAGCTAGGGGGCTGGAATTTGGCAGGGAGTGATCGGCATGCTCGATTACACTCCCTGATTACCCCCCTGTGCCAAATCCCAGCACCCGTAGCTCAGAATTTGCAAAAAATCGATAAAATCGATATCGATCGATGACGAAAAGTAGCCTATGACACCCGCCGGGGCCCGAAGGGTATGTGTGCCAAGTTTGGTCCGGATCGGTTGAGAATGGAATTTTCTATTCGGAACATACGGCGGAGCCGGGTAAGCCAGCTAGTTGTATATATTGTGTGGCGCACATGTGGAAATGCTATTGAAGTTGTATAAAGGTGCATCTTGCATTTCTTCATTTATATACCACTCTCGTACATTAGCACAGCAGTGATGTCTCAAACTCAATATAACAAGATACTTAGAAAAACATGCATGCAATTTACAAATTTACACCCTTTTGGGTGATCAAATTTTAGTAAGATACAGGGACAGCCAAGCCGCGAAGCGGCTGTATTTACTCTCAACTAAACTGAGTTTAATATATATAGCTATCAGTGCAAATGTATAGAAATTTCGCCAGATGAGGTGCGAGACAAACTAATACATTAATTAAAGTACAGAGAGTGGCACTAAAACTTTTGAGCAAATAATCGTATTACAATGGTTCACCTTTAACTATCAAAGATTGTCAATAACTCACATATCATTACGGCTAACATTTCGGCGTCGTCGCCTCTCTCGGAGCCTGAGAAGATCTTGAACAATTCATTGGCTTATTAGCTCTGTCTGAAGAATAAAAAAATATAATTCTATAAAATTCACGTTTTACATGCAATTTATTGTTGAAAAACCAAAACTGATACAGAACTCTAAAATAAGAATTGCGACATGCCATTCGGGTGAATCACTGACTGCTTTTTTTTACATAATTGACTTTTACACTGATGAAAACAGGGAATTGGTCGTAAGTGTGGAACGGAATGGTGATATCACGTTTTATGATAGGAGGAGTGGAGCCGTTGGTGCAAAGTATATACACCTTATACATACATGAATAACTGGTCGTAACGTAAAATTCCATTGCTCTCTTCATATGGTACACTCTTTGAGAATTGACAGAAAATGCATACAAGACTTTATATAGCTTTCCTTTCTTTACAGTAACGTATGGAATTCGACAAGTATCAAAAGCTTAGTCTGTGTTCGTACTATTCCAGTACGATTTCTTCAAATGAAATACGATCCACAAATAAAATATTTATTGACAACTTGCACAATGACAAAGACATATCTTATATATAAAGCTGAATGTCTGTTTGTCTGTATGTCTGTCTGTCTGTATGTATGTATGTACGTATGTTCCGAATAGAAAATTCCATTTCTGAACCGATCCGGACCAAACTTGGCACACATACACTTCGGGCCCCGGCGGGTGTCATAGGCTACTTTTCGTATCGATCGATATCGATTTTATCGATTTTTTGCAAAATTTGAGCTACGGGGCTGGGTGTTGGCACAGGGGGGTAAGTGAGCATGCTGATTACGAATACAATATTAGTTTCCGAAACCGTGCATTACTTTTATCGATTTTATCGATTTTTTGCAAAATTTGAGCTAGAGGGCTGGAATTTGGCAGAGGGGTGTAATCGAGCATGCTGATCACCCCCGTGGGGGTGATCAGCATGCTCACTTACCCCCCTGTGCCAACTCCCAGCCCCGTAGCTCAAATTTTGCAAAAAATTGATAAAATCGACATCGATCGATAACGAAAAGTGGACTGTGACACCCGCCGGGGCCCGAAATGTATGTGTGGCAAGTTTGGTCTGGATCGGTTAAGAAATGGAATTTTCTATTCGGAACATACGGCGGAGCCGGGTAAGCCAGCTAGTATTTCTATAATTTTGAGTTGCCTTACCTAGTGTGATTTGCCGTTTGCCAGGTTCCTCGCCTGTCAGGGACGAGGCAGCTTGCCCATCTTACCTGCCCCCCGTTTCCCTCGGCTCCCCTTAAGAGCTATTGCCGTTCTCAAAACATAATGTTAAACATTTCCCGTCACTGTGAGAACGCACATCGACATTGTAACAAATCATGAATTGGGGACTCATGACAGTTTGGCTTAGTGAAATCTGAATAAATACTAATTTTTTTTGTTAAATAGTGTCAGATGAATCAATGAAAAAGATGCCACGGTGTCGTTTCCTTTCCATCTCTTTGCCTGTTGGTGTCACTTGAGTTTGGCAATAAGTGTGCAGTTGAAGCTGGTAGCTTTTTGAATGTGATCTTCAAAGATCTTTTCTTCTTTCATTTAATACACCGTTTTTTGATGTGCTTCAATACGATCAAGATCGGCCGTCTTGCAGGGTGTTGATCTATGACGGAGAAAGCTCGTGGTCACTTGCCTACAAAAGATGATTATTACGCTACTGTAACAAATTTTATGAAGTGTATTTGGACATAGTTTCCGCTAGCACAAATTGTTTGTAATTTTTGTTCACGGAGAAATATAGTTGGTTTCGTTAGATTAAGCAAGTAAGGCCAATTACCTTGCCTAAAGTCATTTCCTTGTTCAAGATGAAAAGGCCTTTTACATTTGATCTACTGAGGCACGCGATTCCTTCTTATCTCGAGAGCTTAAAAGCGTTATAACTGTCAAAAAAACTGTGTTAGTCTTATCAAACACGTGTCATCGTGTAATTAACATGTCATGGCAACACCTATCATTCTTAAGCTTACTAGTCACGTCTTTTCAGCGTTTTTGAAAATGCAGGATTTCAGATTTCCGATACGAGTATGAGCGGGAAAACCTTGATATCGTGTAGAGCAGTGCACCTTGTGCTCACAATCCTCGCGATTCTTGTGGCTTTAGCTGTGACATTTCTGCTGACGTACTTCCTCACCAAAAATCATTTTAAACCCAAGGAGAATAAGTGAGTTTGAGTTTTCAAAGTTTGATCTAAATTATAGTCATTTCTTCACATTCTCAACCCTCAAAGTCAATGAGAAGAATACTGAAGAGTTCAGTTACGGCATTCCTACATACTAGATCGGAATTACTGAGCTTTAGGCCTAAGGCATATTTCACGCGATTCCAGTCACTCCGCGATACTGCAACGAATCTTCATAATTGGTCGCAGTGCGCTTGCTTGGGCCAGATTTGACGCTATTGCGACAATGTACAGAAGCCACGCGCCTGAGCATTTGAGACTTGCCCAAGATCGGTCAGTAGATATCTGTCAAATCGCCAAGTCGCGAAGATGTAGCGATTTGACGGATTCGAGGGAGTATGTTTTGGGCCTTAGAGGCAGTGACTCGGCAAATCCTCGACCTAAGAATTTTCACTCGCCTAAAATACATCGACGTAACGATCCCGGAAATCCACTTTGGGCTTTCGCGAAAATGCCGAAAAACCAGCATTTGCCGGGTCTTTACTTTATATTCTAGTGGAGCATTTTTCGCCGAGTTTGGAGACGCAGAATCATTGCGGGACCGGGACCCTTATTGCATAGCATTACGGCATGCTGCTTTGACGGGGAAGGAGATGATAATGATAATGACCTTGATTATGGGATCATGGGACGCGTGTGATAATGGCTTACGCATGGGTTTTGGGCAATTTTTTTAACAGGGGCGGCATGCGCTTGGATCGCTTTTTCCTTATACCTAGGGTATGAAAACCTATTGCAAATTCCAAGGTCTTGTACAGAGCCACTACTTTCGGTGTGTTATAACGTATGGTCGAATAGAGTGGCCAAACTCGAGCAACCAAGAAGTCAAATATAGCTTTCACCATTGAGTCGATCAGAATGTTCATTCATGCAGCAATGCAAAATTCAAATCGACGCAGTTTAGCATCCCACAGCCATGTGTACATCAAGCATTCAACTTTGATTTTGTTTTGTCATGAATCACTTCGGATGCAGTTTACAAACACTCATCAAAATCCACTTTTCTCTCCCTGCAGTTTACTCAGAATTTTGTTTGGGTTATCTCACAACAATGCAGGTTTCGCAAAAATTCAATCTAGAGCTTACAATTAGTGAAGGTTTGATGGCCTTTGGATTTTGATACTATACCGAACATTTCTTATGGTTGTTGAGCTTGACCAAGATTGGCATAGCAACTCTGTTGACTCAGACGCATCTACAATTCAAGCCTTCTTCAGAGTCTGGCAACACTTGTGACTTTCTAGGCTCCAAAGAAGGCGTAGGTTATCAAAACATCGACGATCTCAGCCAACAGATTTGTTATTCGTGGTCAAGGTCGACAACTGTATAAGCAAGTGTCCAATCTGAAACGTCATTGTTGGAAATTATCGTTATGGAATAGCAACGGTCACTAGTGATCTACCTATCCAGAGCATTTATTTATAAGAGTAGCGTCGAGAAGATGACTGCAAACCAAGAACCAAGAAAATTTCTCATTGAAGAAAAACTAAGCGGGCATTTGAAACTTTTGCACCAAGTAGCCATAAGCTAATTATTGACGCGTTCTTATGCAAAAGTCTCAAGGATTCCCAAAACAGTTAGGCAGCAGAGTCCACTTCCAGACTTTTTTGGAGTGTAACCATGTTTTTTAATTTCATCTCGTCTGCGTACACCTGGCATCCCAAGGCATTTCGGTCTCGCCTGACCCGCTGACTTACTTGGTCCGGCTCGGAACCTGAGTGCAATTTTCACTTTTAGCGGAGAGAAAAGAGTATTTTTCCCACTTTGTTCCCCCCACGTCTCCCCCTTACTTCAACTGTTTCCCAAACTCATTTCTATACCTCTGCAAAGCCAGCTTGCCCCCTATAATCAACGTGAAAGCGCATTGCGAGTGCGAATGGCATGAGGTTGCCTGAATTGAATACAAGAATTTTCCTCGTGTCACCGCATCCTTTCCAAGAGTATTGTTTACACAGTCCTATAAAATGACTTGACAGCGGTTGATAAAAGTTCACATTTATGGCGAAGTGCCAAAAGTCAAGGAATTCGATGAAGGGGCTCAGGTAAACAGCTCAAAAAGTAATCGGTTCAGCGTTTCTATAGGGAACATACCCTCTCTAGCACACAGTTTTTCACTTCTACATTTAGAGATAGCAGGGGCGCTCCCAGGATTTCCGTTACAGGCAGTGTCCCGGCAGATTCGGGTCCTGGGCGATATACGTGTGGTGGGGTTCCTGGTCACCCCATCGACCTCCAGGCGCACTCCGGCTGGGTGATGTTCCCCCTGGGCCGAGAAAATGGCCCTTGAACCGGCGCGCGCAACCCCAACTGGCGCGCGCTTGGACGGCCTCCCCCGCCTGTTCGGCGCGGGACCCCACGAGCGCTCTTCCCCATGATGCATGCTATCCAAAGCAAGAATTACAGGCGGCAGGATCTTCGTCTGAGGACCTCCCCCAACTTTCCATCAAAAATCTCGTCCAAGCTGCTTTTCTGGAATTAGAAAAACGCCCCAAAATCGGCCTTTTCAGCCCGTTCAAAGCTCAAATTCGGATTCTACGTGGCGAAAAGGCCTAAAACATGCGAAAAGGTGGAGGTGCAGAATCTGCCGGGACATTGCCTTTAAGGGGGGGGGGAGCAAAAATTTTTCAAATGAGGGTGCATAGCGTTAGCCAGCACTCCGAAAAAATTTTTGAGCTTTTCAAAATTTTTGTGGGCCCATAACCCCTAAAACCTAATTTTTCGGCCCCCGAAAAAAATTTTACAAGGCTAACATGATGTTTTGAAAAATTTCAAAAATATTTTAATTCACAAGAAACAGGTCACTTGCACATTTCTATAACCCAAGTAAATTTCAAAAATTTCGCCCCCATTCTCGACCCCTCTCCTTGGACCGCCGCTGATAGATAGAACCATTGGAAAACTTACGTCAAGTAGTCAATCGTCTCGATAGCTGTGGTTTCACTACTAATGATTAGTTACAGAAGAGACCTTTGGTACCGTTTTCCTCAAAAAATTTTTGGAGTTCATAAAATGGTCGCGATAAGTGATTATGAAAATCAATATCATATTTCCGGCAAACGTTCAGAGAAAGTAGCTTCCCGAATGAGTCTAAGGCCCGTAGTAAACCTCGATCAGGGAAGTTGATCTCCCCTGAAGCCCTCATTTGAGGTTCCGTCAGGTGAAATGACGATCGCCCACATCCCCATGCTATAAGAATGCAACATCACCTGACATGTGAGCCTCAGGTCAAGTACGGCAGGGAGATCATCTCCCTGCCGAGTCATCGGAGATGATCAGAGCGATGATCTCCCGAAATAGTCTGCTAACGAGGATTTATAGAAAATTTTCGTAAGTTACTCGTGAGTAACTTACGGTCCACGTCAGTTGAACATGTCGAACATACTAAGTGAGGAGCCACAGTGCAGGCTGACGATCTTTAACAAGATCCAACAAGCGCGGCTGCATCTCCGCCACTAGTATCACAAAGATGTGAATGTTTGGCGAACGGGCCTTGACTTGTATACTTGCGTGAACAAGAAGCACTTAATCATATCAACGTGGATGGTTGGAATTATCAATCAATGGCTCAAATGAGGCAGAGCTGAGTCGTCGAAGCCTTAAAGGCAGCGTCCATCCAGAATTTGGCCCCCCATGTTTTTGTCATTCTGGGGCCTTTCCGTGGCCCTGATTACAGTTCCGAACTTCAAACTCTCCAAAATTCGCAAAAACCCCGATTCTTGGGGACCCAGTCTTGAGGGCGCGGACAAGTTTCGAATTGTTCGTCCCCGTCGGCAGGCCAGCGGGAAGGAGGTGCAACTGCATGTGTGCAGTTGCATTGCAGGGTGCAGTGTGCAGATTCTGCTCACTACCTTGTCAATACGTGTCGGGAGGCACGTATTGACAAGATAGTGACCAGTCCCTGGTGGGCGGTGTCTGATATCAGACTCCGCCCAGCCAGAACTTTCAGGCCCCTTATCTCCATTCAGAGACAATGTTAGAAGACCGGACCAACGCAGATGTCCCTTTTCTGGGGTCTACATTCAGGATCGACACTAATCGGAGGGGGTTAGGTTTAGCCTAGACACTGCCTTTAACTGAAGCTTTCCTCAGTCGAGATCGAATGAGGTAGCTTCACTACGGGCCTAAGTCAAAGTATTGTTTTAATAATTGGAGGCTTCCTGGCTCACATATTTGTACTTAGAGATCGTACAACTGGAGAACAATGTTCTGAAGAAAGCATGAAATGTGCCTTCAGAGAGCAAGCATTGTTGGTTGCAGAGAGCACACTAATAAGGTCCGTAACTACGTTTCCTGCGGGGAGGGGAGGGGATCTGATAGGGAACGCACTAGATATCTGCATTATTTCTTTCCTATCTATTATATCTTGTGAAGGATCATACGCTAATACTTGAGTCTAATGGATGATAGAATATTGCCATACAGACTTCGCTTTCCATTGTTTCGTGTGATCCCTAGAAATCGTCAGAGAATCACTTCACATTTTCAAACTCAATCTCAACATGTTTGTAGCAGAAAACACTAAAATCTCAGGATATCGGAACCTTCGATGAGCCACTGTTTGGAAGTTAGAGATAATCGAGAAACCCAAAATCTTCACATTCCATTTGTCTTGTCGAACATGCCTGGTAGTGTCATGTTAGATGCTCAATATAGCCTTAAAATATTTTCATCGCCTTCCTTGAAATTAAGGGGTGATCACACGAAACACTGAAATTCTAAACTTGATGGCAGGGGGTTCTGCAGCGATTACACTCGAGTATCTGGGTATAAGAACCTCTATAACGCAGACAAAAAGGGAGGGACATAGATATGTAGAGTTGCAAAATATGACGCATCCCCTCGCGAATACCCTCCCTTTCCCATCGGGATGTACGTGCATAAGGGCCTAAGAGCACGTTAGCTTTGAATATGAACACACAGAAATGACATTCATCGTGCACTGACCATCTGTAACACCTTTATGGTGATTATTTAATTCGTTTCAAGCTTCTTACAACTTGATCACGATGGAATGATAGCATATAAAATATGAATCAAAGCGCAACTAACAAGGAATGATTTTTTGGTCTGAGCCACTATATAAGAGATATGTTGCTGAAATCGGCAATGAGTGCTGATTTTAAACTGCAGTTCCTTTCTGCGGAATACTTCTCTGAAGCATGACAATTTAACCATGTTAATTTCAATATTTAATGAAGCTCTACAGTAAAAGTTATTATGATAGGAAGGTGCAGCGCGATTGCGGTCTTTATTGCAGAGAAGTTTGCATGTTCTGCTTCTTTCACAAGCAACATATTTGCGTTAATTAGAAAAGGCGTTTCGCTATAAATTTTGCACATTGAGATCAGAATTCATCACTGAATTCAGCAACATAATTTTCATCTCAAATGGCCACTTCGGTAAAAAGGAGCATTTCTCGCAATTGAATCTTTATCGCAAGGTTAAAATTATCGGTATTAGGTTCATTTTTCCACCGAATTCAGAACAACTCCAATATAAATCTGTTTTGGAAGTCATTCTAGTGTTAAGGTTTTCATTTTTTTTTCTTCCTCATCTTGAGGAAACCTCTCCCAGGTTGAGAAGACCGTAAATTTTCATGAACCTCGAAATACATTTTGTACGAAAGAAAAACAACAAATATCCGCAGTAATGAACTGAAACATGTAATTTAATATGAAATGTGGGACATATTGCAGCATTTTATCTCAAAGTCACTAAAAATATACGGATTCTGTCCGAAAACTAATGAATGCCCAAAGTGTAAAGTTTAGAGAGAAGGAGGAAGAAGATGATGATGGGCCTACCGCAGCCGAACTCCGCTTGCCGAGATCTGTATGGCCGGGTGAGTTACTGATTGTGAATAAATTTAGCGTCATACTTGAGCGGTGAAATTCTTCTGTAATGATGCCTTAACTATAGCATAAGCGAACAAGGAACTATTGAAAAAGTATTACCCTATACAAAAGACTATTTGTAAAATAAACAAGACAATTGCATCACTGTAAGATTGCTGATGCTTTTGAAGCAAGCGCAAAAGCAGAAAAAATTATGGTTTACTAAATAACCCGACTTTTATCTTAAAAATTCACACGCATGTGCTGCAAAGAGCAAGCTTATGATCGAGATGTATGAAGCAAAAAATGGAGCATAGGTTGGTTGGCTCTTGATAAAGACCTTTGCACAACCTGTGAGTGCTCTCAAACCAAACGTCAACATTTTTGACTTTTCTACAAGTTATGTGAGAACATTGAATATTCATTTAGAAATGTTCTATCTCACGTTGATGACATCTCAAAAAAAACTTCCTGCAATTTTTTAACCCACAAAGTTATCCGAGTTTTGAGTGGAGGCTGGCCCTTGTGCAAGTGTTTTTGACAAGTATGCATGGTGATATTGAAGAACCCAACGACCCCTTTAGTCTCTCCAACAAACCCAGAAACGTCACCAATGCAGCTCAACCAAATGCACCAAAAACGGCTCTGCGAACCGTTTATGCCAAATATTTTTCTAGAAGCTACCACAGAAACTGCAATTTTTGTCGCATTACGTCTTCTGGCTAATAATTTCTCAATCGTTTAAGACAACGACGAAAAGGTCAAGAAGATTGCCTTATTAATTCCGTTAGTTTCGTTATCAAAACTTACTTTGCGGTGTTATCAGCTGACGTTAAAGATCTTAAAAGATTATATGATTATTAAGCAAGCAAGGAACTTTTCCAAATCGTTCTAGGCAGCAGTGCATTGCTGGAATGCAACCAATTTAAACAACGCCCTAATGAGTCAAACAATGGTATGATAAGCTTAACTGCAGCAAGTGCTGCAGTACTGATTATGGGTGTTTTCTGAAATGTGATTTTGCAGAACAACCAGAAATTTGAAAAGTGATTATTAATATACGCACAAGCCTACCTTCTTGACTCCAAGATCTTTGAATTTACATATGCTACAGGGTGTCCCAAAAGTGAGTACACATTTTTTGATCGTTGATCACTCTTTTCCAACGACACCTTTTGCTAAGCTTCTAATACCTTTCAGTAGAGCAACCTACAACTTAGATTTACAGCACAGGGCGAATTATCCATCCTCTTCATTACTGTAGAATAACGGTAAGAACTTCCAGCACATAATGCCGTTATGAGATAGATCGTTCGGAAATTATTCGAAAAAATTCTGGAAAGTGGTATATCAGTGTTTTCACACATGTTGATTTCATCAGACACTTTTTGCGAGATTCTGATGCGTTTCAAATAATTTAATCACATTTTTGAAGGAACAAGGACAAAACGTTATCGCGCTTTCCCTAACATAACCTATGAAAAGTCTTACGGTCATGGTTATAGTCAGCGAGTCAGTTTGGCCTAGCGATAAAGTTTTCAGCATTGAATATCCATTCCGAGGCAGGACGTAGTCACTGATGACTCAAACCCTTCCTAAATTTCCTACCATAATCCTACAATGATGAAGAGCAATGGGTGATTCGCTCCAGGCTATAAATCTAAGCTGAAGACTGTTCTACTTGATGGTACTTAAATCTAAGCAAAAGACTTTGTGGGAAGAAAGTTACTAACGGTTGAGTGTGTACTTACTTTGGACACCCTGTATTAGGATGATCGAGGAGTTATGGGGCACCTTGATTTTTTAAACAGCTTTAAAGGTTTCTTTTTTGTGTACAGAAACTGAAAAATGATATGTCACACGTCCATTGTCTTTGTGGTACAGAAGCACAAATTTGGATGGCATTTAAAAAGTCTGTCTGATTTCTCCAAAGCTCCGCTCGAAGGACTGGGGAGAAAAGGCGCAAGGTGCTCTCAGGATAACCAGAGACTTGAACAATTTCGTATGAAGTGATTTTTGTGCTGTGTAAATTTGTGCTTCTGTACCACAAAGACAATGGACGTGTGACATACATTTTTTTTCAATTTCTGTACATATCATTTGAGAATGTGCAAAAATTCTTCACTGTTTTGCATGAAAGAAGCAGCTAATTCGGAAAAGTCGATATTTGGCGCAGATTTTCAGGCTAAAAACATGATTTGGCTTACAATTCGTTGAAAACAGTAAAAGTCGAGGTATAGGTAAGTTGCATACGCTTGGATGGAAATAGAACGCAAAAAGTTCTATCCGACGCTGGCCTTCAAACGCAAGCTTATTTCATTACCCTAATCATAAATAAATAATATGTCTCCAAATGTTTGATGATTTATCTTCTGTTGCAAAGGTTGAAACCATCAAGCTATCATGGATTTGTTGGCAGTCCCCTCACACACTGCTGCACGGCAGTGGCGTGCCGAGGGGAGGGGGACGGGGGGGGGCGCCCCCTCCCCCCCCCCCCCCGCCTCCCCGAGAATGGGTCGCGAAATTTTTGACAGTTACTTTTTGAGTTATAAAAATATGCAAGTGACTTGTTCATACTTGTGCGGTGCTGCATAGAGTTCGAGATAACGTAAAGTAACGGCCTTTGATTTTAGGTTTCTATAAAAATAATGTCTCATGTACAGACCTCGATCAGAAGGTTTTGATACGCACTTACACCTGTCACCTTGGGCGTCCCATTAAGTTTTCTGTTTGAGAAAGCTGCATTCATTTCCAAATGCCCCATTACTTCGAGATCACCCTAATAGATTTGCACTTAGCACGCAAATTAGGCTGGAAAATCAAAGTTGGCTCTTGATAATTTGACAGATGACTGAGTTCATTGAAAACATTTTCTGCTTTCTCACAAATTGATTGAAAACATTATTTGCCTCACAAACCGCATAAAGCGTTTGTTTTGATCATGAAGGAAACTCAAGCCGTGGTTAGATGACTTCGGAGAAAAACTTCGTATAATACTAGAAAATCGACTACTTTGAAGTTTTTGAATTAAAGAAAAACAGTGGCACCTCAATTTTCCCTTTGTGCTTTTACCTTACCAAATGTTGATTTTTTTCAGTTGAATACGCTCTAACTCTCAAAACTTTTGTGCCTGGATATGTTGAGTTTCCTCAAGAGAAGGACTTCAAGTTTGATGCTACAGTCGAGATGAAGCTTAACATCACAGAAGCCGTAGATAAAATTGTGCTGAACATGAAGGATATCAAAATTCATGACAGTGATTGTAAGCTTACAGCGGTAAGTGCACTGTAAAAGCCCTTGTTAAACAAACCTCGATGCTTTGGAGAGAGCAGCGATCATGAAATTTGGACTAACAATTTTTCATCATTTAAACCCATTTTCCATTTAATTTCATTTTTGCAAGCGATGCTGTTCATTGCGAAATGCGGATGAGGGTTGAACTCGGAGCTACACGAGATGGCAAATTACGAAAAATGGGGAACAAAATGGCCTATCCAAACAATCAAATACCATTTGATGCAGCATAGTACTCCTAGCCTGAATTTACCTTCCTTCTGCTGAATTTTTTAAATGTTTTGAGCACTTTATCACAAGAAGCGTAGAGACTGCGAAATTGGACACATCATTACCTTTTTGCTCATTATCAGGTACTGCTGAATGACTTAGTTGCATGTTTTCGTCTAGCATCAAACCATAAATGGCGTTGTATGATCTAATCTGCGCTTTCCATGCAGGATTTCTTCGCAATATAATGGCTCGTAACTTAGTCCAGATAGGCATTTAGCAGATACGAAAGACGGATTTGGAGTTAGCGTTCTAAGCTGCATTAAACAGCTTGTTTTGATCGATTACATCGTGTTCTGACCAATCGCTGATTTTAAGTTTTTTGAAGAATAAATCTGTCTGAGAGATCAAATCAAGCTCTATAGGATATTCTAAACATTCGCATGATTAGTATCGACGCAAAGGCCGAAGTATCTAATTACCAGATTTCTATTAGATTCGTACTTTGTCAGCATGTAATAAACGAGGGCAAGTATCAGTTTGAAAAGAAAAGAACGTTGCTTTTTCGTATTTTTCTAGCTAGAATTAGTATTTCTCAGAGACTAAAACATATTTTTTCAAGATTTTATGGTCAAAGTAAGAGAGGAGCACAGGACTACTAAAAGCGAAGTTCGCCGTTTTCGTTTTTCAATCTTTTTTGATTTCTAAGTGCGACGCAAAATGTAGCAAGTGCATATATGAATATGGCATGTGTCTGCTACATGCAGGAGCAAGTTACAGGTTCGTGAGATATTTTTGGGGCGAAGATCCGATTTTTGGCGCTATGAATTGCTCTCGTGTTTTGGCTTTGAACAAACCACGACTTAATGCCAATGTTCAGTAATCGTCTTGTAGAGCTTACTTTGCTCTATCGAATGACATCCCTCACTTAGACGAGTTTTTTCAGATACTAACCCTTAATTCCAAGAGAGCTTTGTTGAACAAGTTTTTGTAAGTTTTTCATACTTCAAGCTATGGAAGGTGACCGTCTAGACTCTATAAGCTATGCCGCGTTACCGCGTGAGTGGAAGCCAGCTCAAAAGAACACTGTTTTTTTTTCATTAAGTAGTAGCATTGTTAATTTGGTGCAGAATAAAAAACCCTTTTCAAAACAAAGTACTTGTTTTGAAAGTATGCTGGAATTGAATCAGGCGTGAAACTTTTCCGAATTCACTTTTGCCACTTGTTCAAGGATTTAGATGTTGAGCCCTCTGTATTCCCCTGCAGAAACAACGCATTTCGCTAACCTTACTCAACACCCTTCTTGATTAATGTAGAATATTGCAAATTTGAGGATGGCCGAGAAATTTCCATCAAATCTATAACACCGCAAGAGAGGTTGGAAAAGGTCGAAATACTGTCAGCTGAAGTTCTTCAAGTAGGCAAAGATGTGACGTTAAAGGTGAGATTTTAACGAAACAGGCAGAGAAGTCAATGCATGAATTTAGCTAGTGTACACTGGAGATATCAACGACAAGTTATATGGGCTCTATCAAACAAGATATTTTGAGGATGGAAAGGAAATGTAGGTTTTGAATGATTCAACTAAAATATAAGTCAAATTTTTTCACTGAACATTTTACTTTCTCCCTTTTTCGCATCCCGATGTGTTTTTCAGTTGCGTAAGTCTGTGTTTTTTTCATATAATTATTAGCATACGACATGAAATGACAAAAAACTCTCTCAAAAAGTCTCTTGAGCTACTGCATGATATTGCGATGTTGGAAAGTGCACAACTGATGGCCACCGTCCTCAAGAAAGTTCAGCTTTGAGTGGAATTGAGGATGCCAAAGTCATCGTTATCGGTATTTTTCGTTTATCATCTTGCGCTACAAATTTTCTGAGTCACCATGGTAATAAAGACTGAAGATTAAGGAGTGTCCAGGGTAAATCTAACCACCTCCGATTAGTGCCGATTCTGAATGAGGGCCCCACGAAAGGGGCATCTGCGCTAGTCCGGTCCTCTAATGTTGTCTCTGAATGGAGATAAGCGGCCTGGAACAGCCAAAGTGCTATCAGGCCCCGCCCAGATCCTATCAGACTCCGCCCTCCCATGTACTGAAAGCCGCCCGCGCCCTCAAGACAGGGTCCTCAGAAATCGGGTTCTCAAGGGGTTTCGGACTATTTGAATTTCATAGCTGTAATCAAGGCCACGGAAGGCCCCGGAATGGCAAAAACATAAGAGGAAATATTTGGGTCGCGCTGCCTTTAAGTAAGCTAGCACTCCACAACTAACACTTGTGGTTACACCACAACTACCACCTCTTTCCTTTCTCTCGCTGTTTCTATAGAGAGACAGAGCCAATGCCCTCCACCGACATTATGTCTCGCATCCTATCAATCGAGGCCTGAAAGTCTTGCGCAGGTTCAAAAGGGTACGTCAAAGCAATTTGACGCGGGTAAAACAGTAAAGTTTCAAAGAACTGCGCAAACTTCAAAAAGATCAGTTATCGATTAGTGACAAGAGAGACGAGTTCATGTAATGCCTGTGACATTAGATTGAGAAATTGCAGCAATGCATTCTCTCGGACGCGACGGTATATTATGCTTAAACAAAAGTGGATTCCAGATGCAATGCAAGAAGCTCAACGAAGTTCGGGTTCACGTAGACATGTCTGGTTTGGACGAGCGGCTGATTAGCAGGTTAAAACTAGAGAACCCCGACTGTTGTTTGGTAAAAATTTGGTAAAGATTCATAATAGCGAAAAGTGAAATTCACTTCATGTCAGCAGAAACATTCAAAATTCGAACGCTAATAAGCATGTTGGCGGGCCCACTTATAGAATCTCATGGATTCTCAATAAGTCGGTAAGCTACTGACTATGAAAGGTATAATCGCATCTGTTCAACACTCAGTTTATGAGATACTTGAGAGAGACGAGTATCAGTCGGAAGGGTGTTATCAAGTCATTTGGCTTGACATCGTTATACAATTCAGAATGACGCCGCATTGCTAGCACTATCTGGCATTTTGGACACTCATTGTTCCAATATGGTCACCTTTGGTTTAAGCAAGACGTCATTCTGCCATCAAAGCGTGTGTGAAATGTAATATCTTCAAATGGTCCAGGAATCATTATTCTTAGGTGAAAGACTAGGGATGAGCCAAAGGCCCTAGCTCTCCCCATCAACGCAGCCCATCCGACAGCAGTAAATTGCGCATCTTCAACAACATGTCAGAACTGCTAGAAGAGGGTGCACGGGTAAAGCAGCGACTTGAGTCCAGAGAATTGGCTGCACATATCGCACGCAGCAATGACTACATGATACTACAATCTCGCAACCGCTAAGGTATGCGAGCTAGTCATATTATAAGCAGCAAAAGCAACAAAGTAGCCCTTTGCTTTTCTTTCATGTCCGACCAGCATAGTAAGGCGATCAGGCAATGCAGAGTGCGAACCCAAATGCAAAATGGTGCTTGTAAACATACCGAACGATAACGTAAAAAGGTGGTGAGGAATCGATTATACAATGTAGATGCGTCACCGAAAAATGCGTTGTCTTTCCCTTCGGAAAGGTGGGCCATTGCGAATTCAGGCATTGTGTACTAACTTTATGCTTAAGTTGCATTTTATATGGGTGAAACGGGTAGAGCGCTAAATGTAAGAATCAGAGAGCATATGGCAGATGAAAACGAGAAAATCCGGCATTACTGCTAGGAACACACCGAATTGAAGCGCATAGTGACGGTGAATTTGATGTCAAATGTAAAATCTATCGTACGAGACAGAATTTCTGTAAAATTATGGAAGATTCATAAACCTCTATTAGGAATCTTAGCTTGAACAACAAAAATGAATGTTCATCTCTAACGACCAATCTCTTGTGTTCTATCATACGAGCTGCAGCCACATATATAGACAGACATCACACACAGTGTAAGGCTCTGCATCGCCCGCTATTGCTGTGCGGTTACTAACTCTCTGATAACACCGCGGTAAATCTAAGCTTTGTTTTACTCATCATCAATATGCTTATCAGTGCGTTGAGCAAGAGACGATGTCTGGACGAAGTGGCCTCTAGGGCCATTTGCCGCGTAGATTCGTAGACAGACGACTGCACTTCTTTCAGACTCCCAAACAGGGCCCAGCACGAGGTGGTATGAGAATTTTGAAAACGAAATCCCCCTTGGCATTGCAGAACATTACGAGATATCTTTTGCGGCCTTTATAGAAATAAGGCTAAACCTGCAGGGAACGATGAGTGAATGCAAGTCAGGAATAGACAAGGAAAACAGCAACAAAAAGTGAACAATGAACAAAAGACGGTTTTTATATTATTCAAGGGCCGTAGGAAAGCAGAAAAGGCGAAATTTGGGTTAAGGTATGCATTCATAGGTATAGTTCGAAGTGAAGAACAGGTTTATGTGAACAATGTTGAAAATTTGCGTGAAGAAGGGAGAAAATTACGGCTTTGTTTGGTTCCGCGCAACCTCAGGATGCTCCCAGGTTGGGCGGGAGCAACCTGAATCAGAAAAACATTTACAACTCTTTTCATTCACATAAATTTTTCATAATTTTTCATACTTTCCTTTTAAACGTAGTCGCGAAGCTACACACCAAATTTGGTGGCTCAATCTTGCCTACCGGTTGTAAACAAACTGATTCTTTATTTTTTTGTGCATGGAGATTGAGTTCAAACACGTTAGAATCGTGTGCACACATGTCTGCGCACACCCTGCTTGTAACATGCCAAACTACCCGTAACTTGTGAAATAACGTCAGAGTTGAATAAGGACTTACTAAAGATTGGCTTTCACCCACTAATTTGAGCAGATTTCCGCGAATCACTCCTGAGAAGTTTACGGGTTCCCTTTTGCTTTTCTTTAAGAAAACGACATTCAACGTGTGAAAACGCCACCTCTGCTAAGCCCTGCTCCCAAAGTAGACGACGTAGCTGAAACGTAGAGACAATAAAGATATTACGTAACAACACGGATTCCGCGTAAATATTACACTGGATACATTTCCTGCCTTACCAGCAGTCTTGTTGCTAAACTGATTCTTCTCGTTTTCTTGTTTTTATTTCTTTGAGCAGTCCCTAAATCTCAGAATCATCATTTTTGTTTTGTTCATTGATATTTCAAACTCTCTTAGAACAATACTATTAACTGCAAGATAAAGAGTGTAGGTGTACTTCACGGGTTATTCTTTTTTACATTTTTTACTGCTTCTTAAGTTTGAAAACTATTTATAAAGTTGATTATTTTTGCTATAGTTGTGTGAATATGATAGTTTATTATCTCTGAGGATTATATTTATTTATTTATTTATTTATTATTGCACGTAGTGCGCCAGCAGTTCAAAGTGCAGGTAAATTAATGAGTAAGCACAAACGTTAAAAATGAAAGCATTACTAAATGATGAAAGATCCGATACAACAGTTAACCAGTCTAAGTCAGTTGGACACTACCTTACTTCCATAAACAATGAGATTCTAGCAGAAAATTAACCACTGCACAATGGCTTACTATGTTTGTGAGTCAGCCATTCTGCATCATCCACTATGATTGAAGTTTAGACCAACGACGTAAGATATAATTAGCAATAGCTGAGGTGGGAACAAGACAATATGCACCCCAGAGGCAAGTTCACACATCTCCGTATCCCTGATGTATTAGGTTGTCCGGAAATTGATGTCCGTTTTGAATTTCAACCGCAATAAGTCATACACTTTTCATTTCTGAATAGGCTTCAAGATATCATTCGATAGAACAAAGTAAGCGCTACAAGATGGCTAATTTGCTTTAGCAACAGCTCTGAACCATCTCGAGTTTTGAGCCAAAAACTAAAAAGATTCAACTGCCTCAAAAATCGAGAAAAATCATTACTCAGTTCAAAAGAACCCTACAAAAATTCTAACTTGCTCACGTAAACACTATCCACATAAGACATATATGTACGCCGTTGCCGTATTTTTTCCTTTGTTAGAAATCAAGAAAACAAAAATTTCCATGATTTTGCCAAAGTGATGCTGTGTCGTTCCCACATAAGTAGTTGTATACTACAAAGCTGTAGAAGCACAAACGAAAATTTTCAGCTCTCTACAAGCCTTAGTTCTCGAGAAATTTGAATTTTAGCTTGGACTACCTGACTGATGAAAGCTATATCCGATATTTCTCGAGAACTAAAGCTTGTAAAGCGCTGAAAATTTACGTCTATACTTCTACAGATTTGTAGTACACATCTACTTATGTGGGGACGACACAGCATCACTTTGGCAAAAGCATGGAAATTTTCGTTTTCTTGATTTCTAACAGAGGGAAAAATACGGCGACGGCGTACATATTTGTCTTATGTGGATAGTGTTTATGTGAGCAGGTTAGAATTTTTGTAGGGTTCTTCTGAACTGAGTTATGATTTTTCTCGATTTTTCAAGCAGTTGAATCTTTTTAGTTTTTGGCTCGAAACTCGAAATGGATCAGAGTTATTGCTAAAGCAAGATTGGCATCTTGTAGAGCTTGCTTTGCTCTATCGAATGGTATCTTGAAGTCTCTTCAGTAATAAAAAGTTTATGACTTATTGCGGTTGAAATTCAAAACGGACATTAATTTCTGGACAACCTAATATTTTTCCTTAACTGCCATACCCCGACATAAAGGGTGAGGCCTAGGCGAATGGCCCAACCATGCGTGCCTATGGTGTGATGAATGCTCCAGGAATTGACAAATTCTGCTTGAGCTATTCGTTTTGAAACTCATTAAGCAAACCATATAAGGCAAAGTAAATGAGCGCTTGCCAGTTGAAACGTGAAATCTCGAGTTTATGTACACTTACCAAAGTGTTCAATTTTACTGCGCAATTTGCGTAAGTTGCAAAGAAATATAAGTGTGACAGAAAGAAATATACATCCAAGAGGAACTGAACTTTTACGTAACAAGGGAAGGAAGATCAGTGGAAGTCGCCTTTTGCGATGATTTGTATATGATGTTGGAGGGGTAAACTGATGATTCCATATCTGTCCTTTTTATCTGCGGCGCGTTCTTGAACGAGGAATTGTGAGCGTTTAGAAGAGCAAGAAAACGATATTTTTCTGGGATAAAAACAATTGCAAAAATTTTCCCTGCGCTTGAATAGACAGCAGAAGTGCGGATATATCTCGCCTAAGAGTATTTATTTTATAGAGTGCTGGAAAAATTATCACTGGTCCATTTGAGTGCTAAGAAAAATGTTACTATTGTTTTTATATTACTTACACATTCAATTTTTTTTCTCCAACCGCTTATAACTTCTCGTGCAGGAACTCGCCGCAGATAATGAAGACAGATTTGGAATTCACCGTTTCATGCCGTTCAACACGATATACATCTCATTCTAAAAGGCCACTTCGACCACGCATGCTTTCCTTGTAAGATCTTATTAGGCCATTTGCGAAGCTTCGCTTTTTTACAAGCTGGGAAAAGGGACCAGCTGGAATCGGAGAGATAAGAGTTCTTGCGAAATCCCCTGGGTAGAGGTCATTGGGTGGGGGAACGAAAGCCGCCAGGTCCAGCCGCCTCCGCGGACTGCTGGTCCTGGAACGACATGCAACAACGCTGCGAAAGGACCAGCTGGCCGCGAAAGGCGGCTGGACCTGGCGGCTTTCGTTCCCCCACCCAAGGTCATTAGGCCTCCGAAAGGTGTGGTCCCGCGCGGACATTTGCAACAAACTACGCGCCTTCACCGTACTTACTGCCCCTAACTGTCCGCGTGGGTGGGGCCTCCGGCGACCTGATGTCCTCTACCCGAGTTCCCTTTGACCTTTATCCTCCCCTCCCCCCTCCCCCCCCCCCAATCTCAAGATTCGCTGAAATTTCGCATCTAGGGTAATTCTTTATACTGAACATCACTATGAAATTCATTTGCCGTCGAAGTGAGTTCTTGTGACTTACCAAAAATTGATTGTGGTGCAGAATGATTTTTGTAGAAAAGCGTGTCAGGCCCCCCTTCCCTAAATCAAGATTTAGCTGAAACTGTGACAGTTTGTACAACCCGTGAATTTTTTCCTTTTACCGCACATCTACCGTAACCAACACACAATTGCGAGAAGTTGGAACGATTGCTGCATTTTTAGCTCACAATATTCTAAACGTTGCCCAAGTTTGAGTTGAGTGTACCACACGCAAAAAAAGTTATGGAAAAGTTGTAGAATTCAGTTAACAACCAATGAAATTGAATTACATAGTTTTTAAATTGATAAAATTGGAAAAATTTTAACTTCGAAGCGATGAGTTGGCGGTAGCTTTCTTGCATGCGCAATGCGTTGACATTGGAAGACCATTCAAGGCACATTCCGATTTGGAATCGCACCTGCTATTGCTTTTTTCAGTGTGGCCGCCTCCACTCACATGGAACCGGTCAGTGCTCGTCTCATGGTGCCTTGCTTTGATGAACCAGAATACAGAGCAAAGTGGAAGGTTATTGTTACCCATCCTAAAGGAACTAAAGCCATATCAAACGGAATAGAAGAAAGCGCGTGAGTTCTCAAAAAACGACTAGTACAAGTACACTAACTGTATGACTTTGATAAATTTTTCTTAGAGGCTGCATTTATCTTACAAGGGAACGATACTAAATGTCCGCGACCTTTTGAAACGAGATGTATACCACTACACTCGTCTTCGAACGCTGATTCCGAATCTGACTTCCATTTCTACTAATCATTTCTCTGAAAGAAGTTATAGAGGAATTTCGAGCCAACTTTGGCCGCCCAAGGGTATATGGTTACCGGAACGGCCTCTACCGGCGCCACGTTATTGTCTAGTGGTTAGTCTGATAGCCTTATAACTTGATGCAGGTGTAGATCAAATCCTTTTGTGTTTTTATTTTGCACTGCCTCAATTAAATCTTTCCGAGATTTACTCGATTTATGAGCATTGGATACATTTTAGCGCAAATAGTAATCTTTTTTTCCGTTCACATTTTTTGAAGAGTAAGGGCGTTCAGTTAGCTCAAAGATGCGAAAGAAGGTTTATTGAGGCAATGGAAAACTGAAAAACACGAAAGGATTCGAACCCACACCTGCATCAACTCATGAGCCTATCTCACTAATCACTAGACCACACCGCACCACAGTCGTTGGCGCTCCGAACGTATTTCAGTGGACAGCCAAAGCCCGCACAATCCTTTATAACATCTTTGAAGCGATTAGCAGAAACGGAAGTCAGATTCGGAATCAGCGTTCCAAGACGAGTGTAATGGTATACAACTCATCTCAAAAGGCCACGGACACCGAGTATCGTTTCCTTGTTAGCAACTACGTCGAGCACCCGCCCATCACTCATGGGCTATGCCATGCCCGTTCCGAGAGTACGCCGACAAGACCGTGATAAGCTCCCGACAGTACCTGTTAATATCGTCCCCTCCACAGCTCGTGCTACTCTTGGTCTTGGCTCAGACCTGCCACGTGTGGCTAACATGTTGGCAACGTGGCAACAACATGTTTGCAACATGCCGCAACATGTTCGCAGCAACATTTTGGCCACGCCAACATGTTGCTTGTTGCCAACGTGTTGCTGCCAACGTTGCCAATGTGTTGAGCTGTGGAGGGGACGATAACTTGATAGGAACAATACGCGCGGATGTCCCGGCAAGCACGCAATAATTGCGCAATATACAGGGTGTCCCAAAAGTAAGTACACACTTTTCAATCGTCAATATCTCTTTTCCCAATGCGTCTTTTTTTGCCAGTCAAGTACCATTCTGTAGAGGAGGCTTCATCTTAGATTACAGCATCGATCGATACACCGATCGCTCTTCGTTACTGCAGGATTACTGTAGGAACTTCCAGCAAGTGGAATTATTGTGAAATATGCCATCTAACAAAATTTTTTCAAAAAATCTGAAAAGTTGCGTATTAGGGCTTTCGCGCACGCTGATTCCACTGCACAAATTTTCACGAGTGTTTTCAGTTTTTTGACGGTGTAATCACATTTTCGAATACTGGGAATTCGGTTATTACGGTTTACCTGGGATAACTTTGGAAAAAAAACATCACAGTAAAGTGGAAACTTCATACTCGAAACCAGAGGCTTCCACTACCATATTATAAGAGTTTCTGACTTGTTTGGTTTTGTTCTGAGGCAGAATATGGCTTCCAATAGCCTAAACTTGTCAAAGTTCCTACAGTAATCCTACAGTAATAAAGAGCTATAACTCTAAGTTGAAGCCTCCACTACAGAAAGGTGCTTAAATAGCGAAAAAAAAACACAATGGGAGGAGAGTAACGATTGAAAAAGTGTGTACCTACTTCTGAGAAACCCTGTACATCCGCGTGTCGCGGCTCGCGATGCAAGCCACTCCTTGAAATAGGAGGCCGGGAGCGCTGGCTATCGCGTTACTTGGCGCGCCGCCCATTTCGCGCCAAGACCTCTCCTGTTGGCGCGATGCCAAGTCACAGGGTATATAAGGGCGCGCAGGCCGCGGTCTACACCTCTTCGAGTTTCGTTCGTATTGATCGTTTTATGAGATCGTTCGTGCTGGCAGCGCCTCCAGCAGCTCGCGCAGATGATCAACGGTTTCGAACGGTTGAGCCTTTGTCATCGTCTTGGTTTTGGAGACGCGCAGCTAAACGTCATGGTTCGTCTTGCGTAGCATACTAGCGGGAGTGGAGAGGGGTCACACCGTCCCGGAAGGGCTAGGGGCTTGCGGTTGACCCAGCGGAGAGCCCGGAACTACTTGTTGGAGTTGATCATCACCGAGCATCGGCAGCACGGGACAAGGCGGCTCGTCTCGTGCCTATCTTTTCCTGATTTTAGAGTAGTAGTTTAGTAGCTTTAGTAGTCCTAGTAGTTTTAGTAGTTTAGTACAGTCTGCCCCAATCGGGATCAGGCCGAACCGTCGGCTGAATTTGCGCGCTCGCAGCGCTAGGGGTTTGCGCTGCATACGCGCGCTGTCGCAGAGAGCGAAGAGATTGAGGAGAGAGCAGACTAGCTAGACGCAGAAGTGGCGCGAAACCCTCGCGACGCGCACTCCCGCCAAGCCAATTTTGGCCTGGTTAGGATTGGGGCAGACTGTAGTGTTAGTTGTGTATATTTGTAGATAAATGTAATCTGAATTAATCGGTCATTTCTTTTCTCAGCGTTACGCGCTATCTATTGTGCCGTTCATACGAGTAGCGGGCAGTCCTCGGTAGCGTTCGATAGAGCGTAGCTAACCTTATCGGACGCGCGACACCATGTATGGGACAATAGGGAGTTAGATGTAGCTGCGGCTAGCACTTGCGGGAAGGTGCTGATCACACCGAGCCGCCACACCGCGAGTGCATTAATACGGGCTTTGTGAAATCAGTGAAATTCAATCACTTCGTTTAATGAGGGTCTTTATCGCCTGTTTTAACCTCCTAGACCTCACGTAAGGGTTACGATTTACACAAAGTAATTTCTGTCGCAAAGTCCAGCTCTGCGATCTTTCTATAATCCATACGGTTTTAAGATCAAGCAAGTCCAACAGTCGTCCGAGACATTATCGTACATCAAAAACCCGACATTACGGACATCCAAAGACTGGGGAGCGATAACCATTGACCTGAAGGGTATCTCCATCACTGCGGCGTTCTACACGAGTAACGCCTCCGTTTACAGCGCGAAGGTTGAGAAGTGACAATTACGTATTGCTTTGGCCCAGCACATCGGCACTTTGATTAATACAATTTGTTAAATCTTTCAAAATCAGAATTACTTCAAAATTGGAAAGAAACACGAAACATTTCAATTTCACGCTAATCCGTGGAGAATTCTCTTTGACGTAATCACCATATTTCTAATTGGCCTGAATTCTGGACATTTCTGTACAAATATCATGCCTACTTATTTTAATGGAATAGCTAATCATTTCCCAGAATTAGGAAAACAGATATTCGTTATCTGTTCAAGAAGTAGGTGACTTGCTAAAAACTTTCAAAGATTGATGATGGATCTATATCTAGGGAGCCTGATGGAGATTGGATTACAACCACATTCCGACAAACGCCCTCAATGTCCTCGTATTTGATTGCGCTCATGGTTTCTGAATTTGAATATGTGGAAGGCATGACAGAATCTAATAAGCGGGTAAGTTGTTGAGATGCTGTGCCGACCCATATACACTAACTTCATAAAGCAGCCTTTTTTTGTTATATAACTTGCAAATATCGCATTTGCTAACCAACCCTTCACGCTTTTGTACTATTCCAGTGCATCAAAACTACTTGTTTTCTTCAAAAATCTTGTTTAAAGGCACCGTCCATTCGTGTTCTCAATTTCCATGTTTTGATGGTTCCGGGACCTTCTCATGTCTTTGATTGAAGTCGAAAATCCGCGAAAAACGCGACAATCCCCGTTCCGGAGACCCGCACGCCGGCTTACCAGAACGATGGTTGATTGTTCGCGCACGAATGGGCGGGGATTACTGGAGCTGCGGGTTCCGACTCTTGGGATCCTCATGCATCTTCGCTATCGAAGCAATTTCGCTTCCGAAGCGTCATTTTGAGCCGCGGTTTGGGCAGTGGCTTGAAAGGAGGTCCTACCAAGCTGCCAAAAGCTCAAGACTCCTGACTTATGTTGGACGGTGCCTTTAAATTGTTGGACCTGTGAGGCTGCAAACACATACCACAGCAGCGGCCTACACATTGAAATCCTATTAGAAAAGTAACATACAGTCGAATTTCTGCAAACTCCACAACCCTCTGACTAGCAGAGCAGACTGGTGTATCATAGAACACCTGATTTTCATAACACCAGTATAGATAAAAAAAATTTTTCAGTACCGTGTTTATGCAAGAAAGGAAGCATCTCAGGCAAAGATGACAAATTATTCGCTATCCGTAGGAATTAAATGTTTGGATTACTATGACAAACTCTTTGGTATTCCTTTCCCCTTGGAAAAACAAGGTTAAGCATTTTTAAGGAAATACACAAACTGCATGTAGAGTCTTTAGACATGATTGCACTTCCCGATTTCTCTGCTGGTGCTATGGAAAACTGGGGAATGGTTACGTACAGGTTTTTACAGCGCGCAGGCTCAAGTGCTTATTTTCAGTGAATTTTTGTTTTAGAGAAAACAGCCTTCTCTACGACAAAAAACTGTACGGGCCTGAAAACAAACGAAGGATTGTTCAGATAGTGGCGCATGAACTTGGACATCAGGTTACTTTTTTTCCTCTTCTAGAAGACCCCCTTCATTCCTTTTTACTTTCTTCAACAGACTAATGAATGATGAGCCTTTGCATTTTGATCTTTGCAAGGAAAGAAGTAATGAAGTTTGCGTCACATCTTTCGTTTAACCCATCGACGACGACGCCCAATTTTGCGTGTCGTCGCTGTGGGACGACGTCATTTTGCACAGCATTTTTGACGGTGAAGATTTTGTGGCTATTCACAAAGTGCAAGTTGTTTTGCAAACAACTTTCAAAATTTTTTTGAATAACGGAGTGTACAGGTTCCTATAGTGCAAAAAATTGAAAAATATTAAGCTATGGAAGAAGTACTGGGCCAACAAACGACACGACTTTGCAGCAGGTGTGGGCCATCGGTGGTCCACGTCATCCCGGCAGCAAAAAATATGTGGGCCACCGGTGGTCCACATTGTCGTCAATGGGTTAATTATAAATAATTATGAATATTTTGATCTGCTTGGAGGGTAGATCAATCTCACCAAACTTTACATGTGGTCTACAAAATATCGGCATTTCCCCTATTGTTATAATATAACTGCTTTGCACACAATTAAGGCTAAATTTGTTAGACTTCCAATACAAACAGCCACCTTGATTCCCCTTGTAGCCAAGTTGACATACAGTATAAGTGAGCCATTTCCACTGTTGCAGTGGTTCGGTGACTTGGTAACGATGAAATGGTGGAACGATCTGTGGCTTAACGAGGGATTTGCCTCCTATGTTGAGTTTTTCGGTGCGGATGAAATAAGCAATAAGAAAATGAAACTGGTACGTCGGAATAACAAATAATATGTGGAAATCAAAAATGCTGCTATAGCCAGAATATTTCTTACTTGACCCGTTGACAAAAGGGTTAGAACGTGACTCTGTCTCTGCAAGCCATCCACTTTCATTCAAAATCGACAAAACCAATGAAGTTTCTGAAGCTTTCGACTCGATCTCATACGACAAAGGAGCTGCTGTACTGAAGATGATAGCGAATATTGTTGGCGAAGACAACTTTTTCAAAGCTATTAAGGTAAGTTTCCGTAAGTTGGCTGTTTGTAATAGGTATGTTAATGAACAAACTGTTAGTTTTTCTTCTTACAGCTGTAATGTACGAATCTTGAAAAAATTTCGTAAATTTTCGTATAAAAAGATTTACCAATGCAAAGTATTATATATCAAGTAACGTACGATCTTGGCCAAACTCGAACAAAAAAATGATCACCAAAACTCTCGAAACAATGGAATGATTAGAAACTTATCGTTCCACATAGTTGGCATCTGAATGGCATCAGAAAAACAAGTCTAGTTGTTTTCCTTCCACACATAATATTTGATAACTGAGATTTATTAAATAGTCCAAGCCTCAAAAAACTTTCTTTCCTTCTGTATTTACTCTTAGGGCCGCATGCACTAACCTCCCGGCGGGGAGGGGATCGCAGCTTAAAAGAAAGCTTTATATTTCAAAACTCCAGATAGCAGGATTTCACGTTGTGTACCTATCGGTAAGTATTCCTACTACCCTTCGCTATGAACATGTTGAAGAGGAGCGAGAAGCTGTACGAACCGCATTTCCCAGCTTTTGTATGATCCCTGATGATCCCCGGCGCTTTTGTTTAAAGTCATTTTCCTTTCTCCGAAGTTAACGAAAAACCTCCAAAGCTGTGCAGATTATCTAAACCGACAGTGCTAAGCATGCTGCTGATAAGAACAAATGATGTTTTGAAGTCATGAAATTTTCGATGATCCACAGGTCGAAATTTGAGGTTTACCGAAAAATTCGACTTTTCAAAAACTCATTTGTTCTCATCAGCAACATGCTTAGCACTGTTGTGTTAGATGTTCAGTACAACTTTGGAAGGTTTTCGTTAACTTCGGAGAAAGAAAAATGACTTTGAAGAAAAGCGCCGGGGATCATCAGGGATCATACTAAAGCTAGAAAATGCGGTTCGTACAGCTTCTCGCTCCTCTTCAACATGTTCATAGTAAAGGGTAGTAGGAATATTTACGGATAGGTACACAATGTGAAATCCAGGTATCTGGAGTTTCGAAATATAAAGCTTTCTTTCAAGCTGCGATCCCCTCCCCAGCGGGGAGGTTAGTGCATGCGGCCCTTACTCACTTTTGTTCCCTTTTTGGCCGCGGAGTGCTGAAGCGCGTGAATATTTGGAAATTTCCCAAAGCTCAATTTCGTGACTACAAGAGGCATTTTTTCGATTTTCAAGCGCTGAACCACGTCGTTGTCTTTTTAAAGACGAAAGCTATGGCCCACGATACCTTTAGGCAATAGGCAGCATGGTATAGGGTCCTTTGGTTGCGTTTTTTTGGTGTGTTCAAGTTCATCGATCGAAAAAAATCAGACGCATCTTGTAGTGGTAAAATTAGGGTGACTGTGAACTTTACCGGAAATGTGGCAGTCTCCAAATTGTAAACGATTCTTTGTTTAGTAGCTCAAAGTATATTTATGTAGCTTTGAATTTATTAATCTTGAACAAGATGTAAAATTTAGTTTTATCTCGAGAAATACAAGTATGGTAATACTGAAGCGGCCGACCTCTGGAGAGCATTCGACGAAGTCGATATAAAAATTGAAGGTCCCGATGGTAAAATGACGGTTTTCGACTATGCTGATCAGTGGACCTCTCAGGTTTTATTTATTTATTTATTCATTTATTCAAATACAGTCGATAACACAAAGAGACAGATAGACACGTGTTAACATGAATGATCGACTTGATGCATAATATCCCATTTTTTGAGTGCCAGCGAGCCTGCGGGTAAAGGCTAGCGTGACCCGTTAAAGTATGATTTTCAATAGAACACCAAGATTCTGGAAAAAATAATTAGCCATTTATGCTAATGCATGGGAATAAAACTCTGAATGTATAGATATTTTTAGAAAAAGATGATGGATAATTAGAGAATGAAATTGTCTAGTCGTAAGCGTGATTTTGAAAACACTTGAAAAGAAGAAGGAGAGAAATAAAAGTGGATGCAGATTTTTTGGCAGCAGCAGACATCGTCATTCTATTGTAACATTGATTAAATTGACCGAACAGAGCATAGTTAGTATCCTGCAAATAATGTTATCTGAAGTATCCTTTGGATCTCAAACTCTTTAGAACTTCTCTGTTGAATACGAATATAGATGTAGTTTTGATAGCCTTCTCAGAGAGTGCGTTCCATGTTTTGATGACACGTACCAAGAAAGAGTCGTGAAACTGTTGTGTACGTACTTTTCGCACTGTGAGTCTGAGATCGTGTCCTCTGGTAATGTTGTTGAAATTAGAAAACACGAGTAAGATGATACGAGATGAGGTTCACCTTATTGTTTTGACAACATCTTTATCTCCACCAATACTCTATTTAGATGGCATTCCCAATTGTCATCGTTAGTAAGTCAGATGACACGCATGTGAAACTTACTCAAAAGCGGTACTGTAAAACTCCGAACTCCCCAGATCCGGAAAAATACCGGAACCCAAAATATGGGTAAGCGAGAGCAAACATCATTTGCACCTGACTGATTTCCTCCATTAAGATTCAAATGGGACATTCCTATATGGTACAAAGTGGGCAGTGGAGAAGAGAAATTTGAATGGCTGAGCAGAGGTGAGTGATCGCTGTCTTTGAAAAGGGGAACCATTACAAATAGCTCATGCGTTAACAAAAACAAAAGTAATTTCTTCAGTATTTATCTCGCTTTCATGCGCGCATATATTCTCGTGCTTTACCCCTTTCTAAAAGAAAAAAATGTCTCTAAGTCTCTGTTAAGTGCTTGAAATTAGATAGCATACTTGCTTTGGCACAGGGTGTCGAAAATGTTTGCTTACAATAACTGTATTTGTAAAAGAGATAACTTTATTTATTAAACACTTGCAGAAGCTTTTCTAAAGTGGGTGGGATGGAAACTACTCAATGAAATTGAGATCCTGATATGAATGAAGAAATGCCTTGAAATTGAGACCCTTGGCCATTATCTAGAGGAATTTCTGCAAAAAGCTGTGGCTTTTTTTGTAACTGTACGCAATATAGCAAGAAGCTCTTGCGAAAAGAAGTAAGATTTTTGTTCAGCAGTTCACTGATTCCATTACACAACTTTTTACGAGTGTTTTCAGTTTTTTTTTGAATGTGTAAAGTGAAGGTGTAATCACATTTCTGACAAATGCTGGAAATTCATTTATTACGGTTTACCTGGGATAACCTTGAAAAGAAGCGTCACAGTGAAGTAAAATTCCATATTCGAAATCAGCTGCTTTCACTAATATAGTATACGAGTTTTTGGCTAGTTTGGTTTTGTTCCGAGGCACAATATTGCTTTCAACAGCCTAAAATCCTTGTCGAAGTTCCTACAGTAATCCTACAGTAACGAAGAGCGGTCGGTGACTCGCTCAATACTGTAAATCTAACAAGGGAATGGTCAGAAGTCGAAGTGGCGAACCCAAGCAAGCTGCATACCATTCGATGCAGCATTCAACGCTGGTTTCAAATCTGCACTCCATATCTGCTTATCGCCTTGTGGACGAAGTTGTAAGCAGTTTTATTGCGAAAAAATTGTACATAAAAATTGCGAAATTGAGCACAGTGTTGCACTTTCAGCTCACCTTTGAGCTTTTAGAATATAAAGTAGCTTAGTCGCATGTTTTCGTCCAGCATTAAGCCGAATATGGCTCTATACTGCCAAATTTGCGCTGCATGCACGATTTCTTAGCAAAACGGCCTTTAACGGGTTGTAACTTCGCCCACATAGGCGATAAGCAGATAAGGAATACAGATTAGAAGTCAGCGTTCTATGCTGCATCTAATGGTATGCAGCTTGTTTGGATTGGCCACTTCGATTATCGACCATTCCCTTGTAAGTTGAACGCCTCCTCTACAGAATGGTACTTAAGTGGCGGAAAGAGACACAATTGGAAAAGAAATATTAACGATTGAAAAGTGTGTATGATCGTCTCCACGATTCGTGCAGAGGTGTAATCCAGACTTTTCCTGATAACACAGGTAAACTTGTTAAACCTCCACGTCATAGCATTGTTTTTCGTACTCTCTCGCTATCAAAAACCGCCACGCTTTGAGTTGGCAAAACCCCGCCTCTACACGAATCGTGGAGTCGATGATACTTACTTTTGGGACACCCTGTATTCTCTTTATAAGTGACAAAAATCGTATTTCTGACAATCAAGCTGGGAAAATAATATACAGTGGAAAAAGCTCTACTTAATGTCAACGGTTATAACTGTTGTGATCAGGAACCAGTCCTCTTCCATTATTTAGAGAACCAATATGGATGCCTGATTAACGAAGTTTGCTACGTATCACACAATATTTGAAAATGTCACTTTTTTTTTGAAAATGTTGACTTTAGCGCATATAATTGCCCAACTCAACAGACATTCGTGATAAATCATGAAGGTTCTTTTTTAACGCCTTTATTCGGCTTTTTCATATAACACAGTAAAGTTTGCTATTGTAGAGGTATTAGATTGGCACATAAGTTTTGCAACTTCTTCCATAACTTTTTTCTTATTTTATAGAGCAATCTCATTCTCTGGCATCATGTAGAATGTTATATAGGCTGCTCTGCCAAATCGTTTAGTTTTTGATAGCATAATAGGAAAAATTCAAGCATTTTTCGAAAACTGTTGAAAAACGAGATTTCACGGGCATTGGCAAGCATGAAGCCGTACAAAACCTAAATCGAGCAAAAAAGCAATTAAAGCAGCATGTAGCCAGAAGTTGGACAAAAACAGTAAAGAAGAAGTGAAATTCAAAGACAAATCAAGATAGGCAGCCTTGAAGTTGAACAAGTCAGATGCGTCAAATTTGGAGCCCCCCTCCCCTCCAAATAACTACGCTGCGAAAAGTCAGAATTTGCTAAGATTTTGCAGAAGGTAATACTACACTAAGGTACTACATGGACAAATGCCATATTCATCTGTCGCTAAGATGAATTTCATTCCTTGACCTTGCGAAGAAATCTTTTCATGCGAAACGGTTCTCATTTTTGTGATCGGCATGTCGAATATCCCCGTAGGCCGAGTTTCAGCAAAATTTGGCGCAATCTGAAAATTCTTCCATTATGACGTAAATCTACCGTAACGTTACAAAGTTTCAATATACATCATAATTTCTATATAGCCAAAAATGTGCTACGTTCAAGAAGACGAATGTCATATAAAAGATTCTAATACTTATGTACCAACCTAATAAATGAAAACAGCAGTCATTAGGCGTAGTGATGTGGGCTAATAAACGTGTAAATTTTTTCAAATCTTGAAATATGAATGATCTTCAGAAAAGCCGCTCTACCTTGACATCACCGATGCAGCGCAACCAGTCGTCATCAATGTTAATCGAACAGCCTTTTATCGACAGAACCATGACAGTGAGGGTTGGCAAAAGCTGTCAAAACAGTTAAGCACAAACCATGAGGTAATTCTTATTGTGACGATGTTCTTTTTTGTTCTAATTCTTTTTACTCTGCTGCAATAGCGTGAGGATATACCAACATAAATGATTGATGGCGTTGATGCGCCATCAATCATTTATATTGGTATATCCTCTTGCTATTGCGGCGGAGAAAAAAGAAGAAAAAAGTGTACAAAATTTGATATTTGATAGTTCTGAAAAAAAAATTATCAGATAGCCGTCTAGAAGAATACTGTGAGTTTCTAATTTGCTGAAAAATATGCTCCCTACAACAGACTACAATAGTTACCTTTTTTCTTGATAATAATCGAAAATATGGTACTTTTTTAGTGCTGGGTTCCTGCCATATAAGTATATATACCATAAATTTTGCAGGTACAATAGCATAAACTCTCTACAAGCGCTACTTCTGACAAAGAGAGATGAGAAATTTAGCACAGCAAAAATGGCCATTGAAATTTAGCATTTTCCATGCTATTTCAACTGCCATTTTGCTCTACAAAATGACAAATCCGAAAAATGGCAATTGTTCTAATGCCATTCTGTAGAGCATGCGTTGCTTTACGACGAGTGTGTTTGTTACATTATTTCGTTTACTCGCCGTGGTAGTATGAGAAACAATCATTAGTTTTCAGTGGCGTACCGAGGGAGGGGAAGGCATACCTTCGATAGTCTAGAGACAGGGCCTCAAAAGTGAAGGTTGTTTGAACATCTGACGTCATAAATAGTGAAGGTTGTTCAAAGAAGATCAGAGAAGAGAAAGTGACATAAAACAGATATAAATAGCAAAATAAATTGCTGAAAACCGGATAAAAATGCTGCAATGAGGCTTGAAATCTTCCATTTGGCGGCTTTTCAAAGTGCAAGTTTTCGCTTCAAGACCAGCAATTCGCAACTCGGGGTTTTGATTTTTGATGCGTCCTTTGATTTTTTACCCCCGTATTGACTTTCTTGTTTCCTGGGTCGTTGTCTGGATTGTTGCACTTATTGTTCTGAGCAACAATCACCCAAGCTGGAAAAAAATTGATGCGAAAGCACTGAAACTGAACAAGGTAAAGAAAAAGGATGCATAGGATGCACGAAAAAACCGCGTGAAAATAGTTAAACTAGGAGAAAAACAAGAGATTTTCAAAAACAAGGTTTTTGCCGAATTTCTCGATCAAATCAAAAAATATGGTTCTGGGACGTTGTCAGTGTGAAAATAGAGGTCAAGTGCTTCAAAATGATATATAGCTTGCTAAGATTGGGTTCGAAACATAGGTGCGATAGGGGGAGCCGGGCTCTCCCCAGGTGAAGGGGGTCTCGGCTGTTCCCGACCTTCCAGGGTGAAGGGGGTATGTGAGTCTAGGGGGGGAGGAAGAGAGAAAAGGTAAAAAAGCGTGCTATGAAGAGCTCTAATTTGTACCTTATTTAGGCACAAATTGAAAAAAAATTTAAAAATTTTTAAAAGAAATTAAAAAATTTAAAAAAAATTGATTATGAAGATCTGTGCTCCTGTTTCACTGCATCAACAAAAAACGAAAGCAGTAATGTTTATCCCAAAAGATGTACAAGTTAGGAACAACTTCATTTCCTGCACATCATCATCAACAATATCACTATCGCTAACGTCAGAGACAACAAGTTCGCTGCCTGAAAAATCTTCTTCTTCCTCCAAAAGGTCATCGGAGTAGAAGCAGAATGGCGTGCAAAAGCGTTCTGAGTCGAAAATGGATTTAAAACTTTCTTCTTCTTCTAAGCGCTTTTGTGATTTTTTTCCTGGCCCTCTGGTAGCACCAGGAAGTCAGCAGGTAGGTGACCGGTTTCTTCATACCATCTTTTAGGATGTCTCAAAAAGTCATACGGTAACAACCTGTCTGGATCACTTATACCAATCCTTTAAATGAAGTTTTTAGATAACAATGTGTTTAGTAGGAGGTTGACAAATCTTAAGTATTTGCTTAGATGCTCTATCGTTGTACGACTTCTGCGTTGTGTTCTGATAACAGAATAGATGGAAAATCTTTCTCCACCTCTGCCGTGCTAGTCGGAATGGAAACTAGCTTTGCTAGTAGGTCCATCAGATTTTTGCGGTAAGTAATGGGAAAAGAGCCAGATCTCATATGCTTTCGCAGCACGGGAAGGAAATAGTGCATACTTTTTGGGCCTTGTCGAACTCTGGCTTCACCTCCTCTGGCATACGTCCTGTTAGCTGATTAGAAAGCTGCTCAACTTCTTCTTTAACAGCATCTGCGGAATAGCCGAAAAAAGGAGGTACTATGCTGCGCGTTGGTTTTTTTTCAATATCATAGGTCATATTGTCACAAGGCGGATAACTTTCAAAAGCATAAAGCACAAAGTTGAGTTCGCACTCCAGCCGGGATCTAAGTGCAGCAACTTGCTTGTGCTAACACCTTCCTTTTGTTCATATCCATGGTTGTGAATTTAGCAGCCTTGAATTCTTCAGCAACCTGAAGATCAGCAATGGACTGACAATTCCTCATTGAAACTAGACAATCTGCTTGGATTCCTTATGCAGGAAATCAGAGAGTTTCGCTCAACTGCCAACTCTGTATCAATGTCGACAACATTTTCGTCGGCGTAAGATTCTCCTTCTGCCTCGCTGTTGAACTGGAACACATGCGAGTCATCTGCGATTTTGTAAAGTATTCTGCCTGCCGTTTCCTCTTCAAACTGCCAACCTTTCCAAAACATTGAGAAATATTTTAATAACATGTTATTCTTCTGAATGTCTTAGAGTTTTTGATTCATTGAAACCAATCATTCTCTACAAATTAAGTAAGGTGAGTCTAGAGCGTTTTCACGAATGTGACCTTCTTCAGCACTAGGTTTACAGAGTATAGATTCCAGAAATGGGCGGATTTTTGTGTGAAGGTGTGGAAATTCACCTATCTCCCATAGTTTTTTGAGTGTGTGCTAATAATGATAGCATAACTGTCAATCAAAAGCGCATTTTTTACCAAAAAAACATAAACATATAACAACGATAAGCACGCTCAAATAGACGCGTTCGCTCACGTTCCCGTTAGTGCTGATAACGATGTCAATCTACAGCAGATTTTTTACTATTAACGTGCTCCACCTCGCTCTTATTAAGTCGTCCAGAAAGTTTTTGCACATGATTTTCAAAATTCATAACTTCTGATTTTTCCAACCGCTGTGACTGCTTTCACTTTTATGTGAAAGGGTAAGTCATGCTCTTTATAATGACATCCCAGCTGCTTAGTGGGAGACGGTCAAGAGGCGCGATTTCTCTGGCTGTCACCAACTTAAAAGCTCATTTCTGCACTACACAGATTTTCAAAAAATATCTGACAAAGTCGTTTAGCTTACTAGTTGTTCGAAGTTACCATTTGCTGAGTTTCACGGCTTTTGCTGCAAAAATGAGCGAAATATTCACGAAATTGCCATTATTTGCATTTTCATAGGTTTTTGACCTCCAATGCTTTTGTTTTGGATCTTTTTCAAGATGATGAGATCAGACAGCTCATGCAAAGATCTTCTATAACTTCTCAGAAATTTGAAAGGCCACTAGAACATTATTAAACATTGAAAATGTGCAATTTGATGTCCAGCTGGCAATAAAAATCGCACCTCTTGACATACACCCCTGCTTAGTAATGGTCATTTGTTGCACAGATAGAAGCTCAAAACAAAATCACTCAAAATTCAAATTTTTGTGTAGGGTCATAAAAAATCAGAAACTTGCAACAAAATCGGAGCAGTTGGTATTGTAGGTTCTTTCACCAGCTCTTTCTAACAGTGCAAAGTTTGCTCCGATTGAGCGTCTTTATGAAAAGTTATAATTTCCGAGCAAGCAGTACAAAAAGGCGAATTTGATGTATTTCGGCATTTTTCAGGGAAATCATAACTTTTCATGGATACGCTCAATCGGCGCAGACTCTGCACTGTTAGAAAGAGTTGGTGAAAGAACCTACAATACTGACTGCTCCGATTTTTGTTGCAAGTCTCCGATTTTTTATGACCCTACACAAAAATTAAAATTTTGAGTGATTTTGTTTTGAGCTTCTATCTGTGCAACAAATGACTATTACTAAGCAGCTGAGATGTCATTATAAAGAGCATGACTTACCCTTTCACACAAAAGTGAAAGCAGTCAAATCGGTTGAAAAAATCAGAAGTTATGAATTTTTGAAAATCGCGCGCAAAAACTTTCGGGACGACCTATACAATGTGTTGGCTTTTATTGGTCACCAAAGCAAATGATTTTTAGAGCCGGGAAGCAAAAAAGCCCTAACATGCTGTATACCATTCGAAAGCCGAGATCATGGAGAATCGTAGACCCTTGCCTTTTTTCTAGGTCTTCTGTGACGCGAGATATGAGGGATTTTATGTGCTTCAAAAATTAGCTGATTTTGTGCCCTCACTTTCTGCTCTTAAAATGAATGCTACGAGAAAGTCGACGGTCTACGTTTGTTAATGAAGACTTGCTCTATCATACAGATAGATAATCAGCAGTGATTAGTCTTCATTTGACAGAAATCTGCTGTTGAAAATGACCATGTTTTCAGATAAAATGCGGGTATCTCTCGGTAGAGGGGGGCTAGAAAGAAGTCGACGGTCTAGGTCGAATCCCCTTTTCCTGAGCTTTCGAATGGTATATAGGTTGCTGGGCGAAAAAACTAATCAGTTTTCAAAAATGGGATGGAGATATTTACTATTAGCTTGCTCCAACCCAGCTCCACCAATGTATTGGCTTTTATCGGTTACCGGAGCAAATGATTTTTAGAGCCGGGAAGCAAAGAAGCCCTAACATGCTGTATAACATTCGAAAGCTGAGATCATGGAGAATCGACGTAGACCGTCGACTTTTTTCTAGGTCTTCTGTGCCGCGAGATATGAGGAATTTTATGTGCTTCAAAAATTAACTGATTTTGTGTACTCACTTTCTGCTCTCCAAAATGCTAAGAGGATAAATAAATAAGATAAATAAAGATAAATACCGTTTCTTTAGTAAATTTATGAGCGTACTTGTTATTTGAGGTACTTAGCCTGCTTTTCGTAACGATTTTTATCATATTCTCAGAGTACAATACCAATCTCAGCCCAGGTGAAGGGGGTCATCGGGAGTTTGGCCTCAAAGTGAAGGGGGTAAGATCCATCACTCCCCCTATCGCAACTATGGTTCGAAACAGCGAAGAAAAGGTTACCAGAGCCAAATGCCCCGCGCCCCGCATTTGGGGTAGCGAGGTAGCGCGCAGCGCGCGGAGACGCAGACAAGCAGCGGAGACAGACCAGAGCCGACGGGGCATTTGGCTCTGGTCGTAGATCTCCGCGGGGTCTCAATGAATCCCTGCAACATTATATATCATTCAAATCGTCATAAAACGACGAGGAGAGCTGACAACGTCCCAAGCTTTGAAAATCACTCATTGACTAGAGAGACCAGCGTTTTCCTGCGCGACTCTCTGCGCAAGATTCAAACGCAGTTCCTAGTTCTTGTTGGACTTCAATAGCTAGCTTTCCTAAACTTCTAAAACTCGATTTTGTTCAAATGAGAGGTTAACTAAGAAACTTAAGGTAAGAAACTTTGCTCTGGATTCTGGCGAAAATCCCACAGGAACCTTTTTTAAGGTAAAAAAGGCTATGGAAACGCAAATTCTCGATTTCGCTGAGATAAGTTAAAGATTATTCCCTATATTTGCTTCATTAACATTCGTTCCGATATAATCGGAATAATAAAATCCGGCCGAAGCCCCGGATGACTTCTGTTTTTTTTCCAGGTGAAGGTTGTGTCCCCTGATAGCCCTCAAAGTGAAGGTTACCAGAGTACGTGGCTCTATGTATCGAGGATGGGGGAAGGGAATGGCCCTGCCCTGGGAATGGGTCGCAAAATTTTTGAAAATTACTTATTTGAGTTGCAAAAATATGCAATAATGTTTCAAAATTCAGAATTCAGTTTATTCTTACAAAAATTTTTTAACACGTTGACGACAGTGCCGCGCAATGGTGCGCGGCAGGCAGTCTGTCCCTGTGGACGACGCCGCGCAATGGTGCGCGGCGGCCTAAATTTCAATACTATCTGTCCAATCCTCTCAGTTTTTGTTCATATAACCAACATAGGCTCAGATGTATCTCATGTATTAGCCCCGCCCCTTTTTGGCAAACTCCGCCCACTCCTATACCTCTCAGAAGGACCCTTTTCGTTCATAAAAAGCATGGATGAGGCCGTAGATGAACGCAAAGACCTCAAGTAACTTTTATACGGGCCCCGCCCACCGTCATGCAAACCCCGCCCCTAAGTGGCAAGCTCCGCCCACTTTTCAAAAGTGGCGGAAATCGCCTAAATACTTGAAATTTGGGCAATTTCCGACGTTTTTGGTCGAGTGGGCGGAGCTTGCCAGAGGGGGCGGGGCTTGCACATTTTGTACTTCGTGCATGGATGCATGCATACATGCATACAGGGACAGACCTCAAAAAATGGCTCATCGTCAACGTGTTAAGGATGGCTGTAGCCATCCCCCCGTTTTTGGAAATTACGGGGTTACGGGCCCGCAAAAATTTTGACCGAAGGAAATTCTTTGTACGTCACTGTTAGTTTCTACCACTCATCCAAAAAAGCCTGCAGAACCCCTCTAGTGTTGGGCATGGCACTGTGCACTATTGTCAGCGAAGTGAGATTATCTTCTCTGCAATATCTTCAGCGGGGAGTATGCGAACAAATTATGCTTATGCTTGAGCCTGTCTTGAGGAAGGCTTCTTCACCATGAATCACCATTCAGACTTCATTCTCATCTAGGGTTCCCTGTAAAAGCAAGAAAACCCAGGGATGCGAAGCGGTTCGTTTAGCCATGGGGCGGAGTTGCAGCAACAGCGTAAGCTGTTGCATATTCCCCGCTGAAGATATTTCACAACGGTCTACGCGTCCGCATTCTCTTAAATAACATCACTTACGTGCCTTCGTCCGCAAATAGATTTTACCCTCAAATAACTATCAAATTTGAATAATTCGGTGATAAAACAAGTCTACCCATTTAGATATATAACGCGATGACAAGAAATGGCATAATCAGCGATGCCTTCGCAGCTGCTCTGATTGGCGAAGTTCCTTATGAGACCGTCTTCAATCTAATAAAATATATAAAAAAAGAGAAGGTAAGTTTGACTGAGTTTTTCAACGAATAACCGCTGCTTTCACGCAGTTCAACCAAATTTAAAGCGCGAATTTTATTGAAGCCCTGGAAGTTGATAAAAAACGACTTAGCGGGCTTAAGCGATGAAAATCGAGTAGACTTGGGAGGTAAGGAAACAATATTGGTGCTTCTAGGGACACGCAATACCTCGTCCACTTGATCAGCTAATCTACTTCTTCACTATTGGTCAGTTCAATGTTTTGACCAATAAGCAAATGAAGTGGATCAAGTGGGTCAAGTTTGGCGCGCGCCTTACGTGTTTGCATGCATAAGAAGCCTCAGCAAGACCCTCGTATACAAAGTGCGCATCTGCTCATTGAAGTCAAACAAAAACTGCACATTCTACTTTGCACCAAGTTTTGAAAAAATTCAATTGAAGCTTCATTTGTAGCCAGGCCAACATTTTTATGCCGTCAGCTTCGTCGGAGCGCTGTTATATCAAAGACTTGAGTGTTAATTACATATCAGAGCATTTTATAGACCTCGAGTTGGGAAGACATGCCGTAGCAATACATTCTCGAATATTCAAATCTTTGATGCAATATAATGAATATAGCAATAAACAACTAGGCTTTACGAAGGTCTTCATAGCTTTGCACAGAAATTTAATGACTTGAGATCCATATTGAAGACCTAGTCAGATTGATGACGCTTGATAATGGGTTGCCTTAAAGGCACCGTCCGCGCTAAGTTGAGGGCCTTGAGCTTTTGGCATCATATGGTAGTAGGGCTCCCTATTAAGCCAATGCCTAAGTTGCGGCGCAAAATTTCGCTTCAGAAGCGAGACAATCGCTCCGGAGTGACGAAGATGCACTAGGACCCCAAGAAGGGGCCGCCCTCCCCATCCATGCCCGCCCATTTGTGCGCTAGCCAATCACCGTTCCGGAAAGCCGGCCTGCAGATCCTCCTCCGGAACGGGGATTGTTAGGGTTTTCGCGGATTCTCGACTTCATATTCGGAATCAAGGACATGAGAAGGCCCCGGAACGATCAAAACATGGATTTCGAGAATCTGGGTGGACGGTGCCTTCAAGTCCAATCAATGGTCTACCTCATTTGGTCTGTCTTGAATAGATTCATTATAATCCGATGTTTGTCTTCGCTTACTTTATCACTGAATATTAACAAAAACAAACTGCTTATTTTGCCTCGCAGCAGCCGTTGAATAGTGTTTTTCAGCTAACGTAAATGAAGTGCGTAAATTACTATTGTAGGAGTATCTTCCTTGGCAAGAAGCAATAAACGGTTTTGCATCTGTACTGAAGTATTTTGGCACTGAACCGGAGGCTGAGAATGCGGAGGTGATTGTGTTAGCAATCATACATCCTCATGCTACTCATGTGTGTAATTAACTTGCAGAAATTCTTCCGCGATTTGCTCAAGCCGGCCTATGACAGCACCAACCTTACTAAAATAGCGAAAAATTATGAGGAAGACACAGACGACAGTTTGTTTTATCAAGTGTAAGTATTGTAAACTTACTGGCACAAATTGGGGTATAAATCTATTTTCAAAGATTTGGAATAACAAATATTGCTTATCGACAAAAATCTATCTATTAAAACTGTTCAAAAATTTTCTCTATCGCTTTTACTTCCGCTATAATTCATATTCTTTGCTGTTCCAAAATAAGCTTGCGAATTACTTCGACGGAGTAAAGCAAGCTCTATAAACCGCACCTTGTTTTTTGCTTAAAATCTGTTTCACGTTCGAAGCCGAGATCCGAAAAGACAAATGCGCGAAAAGTCGAGAATAAAAAATCATGTCTCCGTTTAGACAATTTCTACATCTGTTATATATCTGTATTTGCTTAGTTTTTCATGCCTAGATCTCCTGAGACATAACATACATTAAAATAGGCCAAAAATACGAAAAAGTCTTCTTTTTTGACTTTTCGCGCTAAATTTGGTAATTCTCAAAAAACTATTGTCTGTAAAAAGGCAGAAATTGATGGTTTTACTTCCTAAGGTTCATACTATAGATTTACCTGCTTGAAAATGAGCAAGTATGTATATAAATGTCGGATATGGTTAGTACATGGCTGAGCCAGTAGGAAGTCCGCAAAAATTTTTTTAACGAAGATATGATTTTCTTCTGAACTTTTCGAGTTATATCCCCCTATAATTCGGTTTCAAATTTTATATAGCCATTTAATCTGCTTTATTCACTTCGCCAAATGAGATGCCGCACTTCGTTTCGAACCTGATTTAGTGACATGAATGAATTAAACAAGTATGGTGCCGCTGCCGCTTTCTTAAACTATCGGGCAAATTTTGGGCTAACAAGACAATAATTGAACTGCTTCCCGAAACACAGAAAGTTTAAGTTATTTGCATGATTTCAGTCTGTTCGACAAGACGGTAGTAGAAGCTTATTGCTCATTTGGATCGCAAGAGTGTGTAGATAGTTATGCAAAACTTTTCCAAGAAAAAGTCGTTCAATCTTGCAAAAATCCAGGTGATAAAGCTAGTGTATGTTCCAGGTACGTTATGCATAATAAAGTGAATTCAATGTAGAGTAAAATTTTCAGCGTTGCTGCACCACTTCGTGCTAAAGCATACTGTTATGGAGTAAGAGAAGGTGGAGAAGCCGCTTTCAATAAAGTAAGTTATCGTTAGAACTTCGGCAACATTGAATTATGTGCTTGACATAAGGTCTACGAGCTGTACTTGGCGGAAACTGTAGCTCTTGAAAAAGATATTCTCCGACGTGCACTTGGGTGCCATAAGGACGTTCGAACTTTGAAAAAGTACGTTTCTGATGCAAAGTAACATCCCCAGCACACAATATCTTTAGACTCTTGCAATTGGCTCTGGACCATGATCCTTCCATTGTCAAACTGCAAGACGTGGCAGATGTCTTCAACAGCGTGGCCGCCAACCCAGCTGGCGAAGGAATCATGCTTGACTTCCTTCTTGATCGATGGGATGATATCTATTCTAAGTATGTCACAACTTTTCGCTAATTTTCTTTTTTTTTGCAGCAGAATATGAAAAATTTTTAGATTTATGCCGTGGCGCAGAGCTGTAGTTGCTGCCATCAAGGCTGCTGCAGCTGGCATACACTCACAACGCCAAATCGATCAGGCAAGTAAAAAAATATTTTTAGAGTAGCGAAATCGGTTTTCGCCGAATTGATCAAGCAGTGAAGAGCCTCCTTTGCATGGTGCAATGGTGTTTTTTCACTAATCAACTGTATTGTGAATTGTTTTGTGAATGTTTTCTTCTGCAAAAAAAAAGTTCATTACCACAAATTTACGCATAGAGGCAGTGTATCGGCAGAATCTCGTTTTCCAAATTTTTACCTTTACGGAGCCTTCTCGCCATAAGAAACCCATAATTGACCTTTTAGCGCAAGAAAATGGCGAAAATGAGCTTTTTTCGAAAGTCCCAGATCCGCATTCAGTGAAGAATAGGGGCAAGTAGGCGGGGCTTCCGGCTTATCTTTTCTGAATACCTGAAAAGCTTCGACAAAAGCTCATTTTCGCCATTTTTATTTTTTTAGCGTGAAGGCGCGATGCATTACGCATATTTACAAATGATGAAGATGATTAGTTTGCTCATCGTGTGCGAAAATCTCTTTCGCAATAGAAGTGACTGTAAAGCTTTGACATGGTGTATATAATTCTTTTCAGCCATTTTTAATAAATTACTTTACAATTCTTGCAACTCCTTACTAAAAGGTATTATCCATATTGATGCGAAAGATGATAAAGATTTCCATCGTAATCAGTCCAACTGTTACTAAGAGACTTTCATCGTTTTTCTCATTAGTTTAGGTATATTACGGGTGAAGGACTACATGTCGCCGAAAGTGGGAGATCCCAGCGGGCATTTGCAACAATTACACATTACCACACATGCACAGGCTAAACATCTGCTCCATTGTCCACCACGCGGGACCCTCCCATTTTCGGCGACATATTGTCCTCTCCCCGGATATCACTGTTACTATAGTAGAACTCTTGTAAGAACATAAATTTGAAAATTTAGCCAAAGCTATCCCTGCAAATTTGCGCGCAAGCGAATACATTAGTGGCAGAAGCATTTTCATTCAATTTTTTTGCAGGTAAAGTATCTGAGGAAAAATGGCAAGCATGCAAAGAATTTTGGCGACTTTAATACGGTGATCGAAGAGGCGCAACACAAAATTGATTGGAATGACAAGTATTTCCATGATGTAGCAAAGTACTTTGAAGAGCAAGTACGAAATCAAACATCCATATTGGACAAATGAAGAATATGTGAACTATAGCACATGTATTTTTATTGCTTGATTTTATGCTTTGGACAAAAAACTCTTTTCTTTATTTTATGTTGTGACGCTTCTTATTGATTTGTTGATGTACTTCACGTTTCCTTTTATGTTCTCAAATTTTTGGCCTATATCTATAAGACGACGACTCATCGGCATCTTACGCTGTAGATGACGGAGTGGACTTTGAAATAGACGTGATTTTGAAGTTATTGTGTCACAATAAAGTTATCTTCGCTTATGAATAGTCGATGAGATGCTGGGGATGTTTCTATAGTACATGGTAAAGCAGTATATGTGAACTGGAAACGCGCTTTAATGTTGTTTTCAATCCCTCCCTTTGAATTTTTTAATGCTAAATCAAGCGTAAGGTATAGTGCGCCAGGGTTTTATAGCCTCAGAGGAGGAAAATGTATTCAGATGCATATCGTTTTTGTTCTAATGATAGCTTCACCAGCAGCATTATTCAAATCAAATCTGAACAAGCACAGAATAATGACTTTGACTTGAGGTGACCTTTTTTCGGACGTACAAAATGTGGATGGTTTCACAGGAAAAAAAAACGAAAAAGTAAAATTCCAATTACTTTGCTGTGCCGTGTACAGGTTGTTAATGGTGATACAATTTTATTGCCTGACGTTTCGGCAGGACGCCGTCTTCAGAGGCTGAAAAGGTGTCAGTTATAGTGATACACGTTCTAAGCCGCCAAACACCTCATCCTAGCTGCCATTCGATTCGTCTCAAGTGAAAATAGAGAGTTCAGGAGGAGCTGTGCACCCACCAAATGTATCACCGTGTTGCAGCGGATAGCCACTCGATGTGTCAGCTGTTGTGACCGAATGCGACAAATGAGCTGACCAAGATGACACAATGTTGCTTATATATGGGCAAACATTCTTATAGTTCACAGAACGACAGATACGCCAGTAGATCACTCGTCAAAGATAATTTCTCATTCTTGCTGTTTAGTTTCGGGTCTCGGACAAGAATGTAGGATGCTTCTAAGGCTTTTCGTGCAGAAATTTGTTATTCGTAGCCCAGAATTTTGCACCTAATTTCGTAATCGGCACCGCCATGTTCCATCATTCTATGCTTTCCCAGCGGACTTATCATGCTTTGCCTCTTTTTACTAGCTAGATGTTCGTTAATCCGTACACTCAATGGTCGTCCGGTCTCACCGATATAGATGGCAGAGCACTCCATGCATTCAATTTCATAAACGACACCAGATTTTGCACAATCGCCACGTTTTCCGTACGGGCAAACTACGCAATCACGAGATATACATTCGGTATCATACAGCCTGTTACGGACTAATTGCCTTCTGATGTTGTCTCGCGGTATATTGACTAATACAACATCATCGTCAAGCTGAGCCTGTACCAGACACCGTTTGATCGCAGTAGTTACTCTTTCGGATATAAAAGGCAAGCACAAAGGTATTTTGTCCATAGCTTGTTTGCTTGTCTTTACTGTAGCCCTTCTTGATTGTCTGGGCCGTATACCATATCCATTTGAGGTCATAATCTCGGCTGCCAACTTCAGTGATTCCTGCCTTTCACTACTGCCGTTACAAATGCTTGTCGCTGATCTTAACATGTTGCGGACAACGGCGCGTTTGACAACCATTGGGTGTGCGGACTTCGCATGCAAGATGATATTCTTACTACTCTCTTTACGGAACCATTTTATGCGCACCGTGCCATCAACCACCATCAATTGTGTATTAAGAAAAGGCAGCCAACCGTTGCACGGTTTCTCTCGTGTAAAGCTTATGTATTGCGACTGTTGATTCAGTAGTTCAAAGTACTCGTCCATCTCCGACTGTGTAGATGTAGCTATGCAACAGTCGTCGATGTAGCGGCAATACATAAGTAGACCTCTGGATAGCACCAGTTCTTCTACTTTGCTCATAAAGCATATGGCAAGCACGGATGCTAAGCGTTGGCCCATCGCCAGTCCTCGTATTTGTGCAAAATATTTTCCCGACCATTTGAAAATATTGCAAGCTAAGCATTCCTTGATAAGCGTCATGACGCGCGTCTTGCTGAGGCCATATGTCAAGATCGTTCTACCATGTGTCTCGAGCATCTCAGCTAACGCTTGTAAAGCTTTTTCATTGGATACATTAGTATACAATGACGTGACATCAAAGGACTCGATCGCGCAATCTGAGGTGAAATTCGTTTTGCGCAAGAGATCAAGAAAATGATTAGTGTTGCTCAAATGAGCAGGTATTTTGCACAAAAGTTGGCTGATAATTTTATTGAGGAACTAGGCTATACGGTCGGTTGGTCCGTTGACACAACTGACAATGGGTCGTATCTTGTACGAACTAGCGGCTTCGGATTGCATCTCGGACGTAAGGAGTTTGTGCGTCTTGATCAAACTGTAAAAGACAGGGCATGCGGGTGTTTCTATTTTAAGCCGACTAAGGAACTTCTCATTCAAACCAGCTTCTTTTCCTATCACTGTCCATATGTGGTTTAACCGTTTGCATTGCGCCAGAAACTCTTTCTCATTCGAGGGTTGGTAAACCGTTTTATCTGACAAATGTAACTCGGTTATCTCACGATCTAGGGCCTGATGACGACGAATTCGCCGCCTTTATCGCTGACCGACAAGCGAATGGTACCGTTGTTGATCAGTTTCTTCAACTCTTTGAAACCCTGCTGCTGTGCGTATGTCAAGTTGAATTTTCTCACACTTTTATTGTCATTGAGAACTTTCAATATGCTCAGTGACCATATCCGGAACTTGACGTCTGCGGCAGCATAAGACTCGTGCTCTTTGTAGAACGATGATGGAAATGGAACAGATGGTAACGTTCGTCTACTCAGAGTATTGGCGGGTTGTGTGTTAGCATGCCTTAGCTTGACCCGAAGCTGGTCTTTCAATCTTTGCAATGATTCTACAACACTACGGTACGTTCTCGCGTTCACATTTTGTGTAGGTGCAAAGGAAGGTCATAAGCTCAGCAATTCAATGGCGTTTTGCGAAATCCGAGCATTACCTAAGACCGTGACTCTTGCTGTACTTTCGTTCTGGGTGGCGTGAGTTGCTGCGTTAGTGGTATGGTGATCAGTTGACAGATTTTCACCAACTTCAACAAAACTCCGCTTACCTTCACTTAAGAGTTTTTCGAATTTTTGACAAAGCGCGGACTTGATATTAGACCGCAGAGAGTCGCATATCTTTCGTGACGCAATCTCAATCCTCCTCCATTCAAGATCACTCATATATCGTCGACATGATTGTTCTTTTGCTTTGCACTTCAGCAAGCAAGAGTATAACATGCGTTGTTTTTCTTTGATCACCACATTGAGCATGTTCTTGTAAAGTCCGCGTATTTTTGGATGATCTTCCGATAGTCCGCATGTTGCTCCTAATTTCTTATTTGTGATGAAGCGAGGGAGCGTATCGGTCGACTTGCATCGTTTGAGGAAGATTAGCTGTTGGCGGATGACGACAACCTTCTGACGAAGCGCTAAGGCTTCGCTTAGTAGTGAGGACAGATTCGGCGATACGTTTTTCGTTTTTCCATATGCTTTATGAGCAAAGTAGAAGAACCGGTGCTATCCAGAGGTCTACTTATGTATTGCCGCTACATCGACGACTGTTGCATAGCTACATCTACACAGTCGGAGATGGACGAGTACTTTGAACTACTGAATCAACAGTCGCAATACATAAGCTTTACACGAGAGAAACCGTGCAACGGTTGGCTGCCTTTTCTTAATACACAATTGATGGTGGTTGATGGCACGGTGCGCATAAAATGGTTCCGTAAAGAGAGTAGTAAGAATATCATCTTGCATGCGAAGTCCGCACACCCAATGGTTGTCAAACGCGCCGTTGTCCGCAACATGTTAAGATCAGCGACAAGCATTTGTAACGGCAGTAGTGAAAGGCAGGAATCACCGAAGTTGGCAGCCGAGATTATGACCTCAAATGGATATGGTATACGGCCCAGACAATCAAGAAGGGCTACAGTAAAGACAAGCAAACAAGCTATGGACAAAATACCTTTGTGCTTGCCTTTTATATCCGAAAGAGTAACTACTGCGATCAAACGGTGTCTGGTACAGGCTCAGCTTGACGATGATGTTGTATTAGTCAATATACCGCGAGACAACATCAGAAGGCAATTAGTCCGTAACAGGCTGTATGATACCGAATGTATATCTCGTGATTGCGTAGTTTGCCCGTACGGAAAACGTGGCGATTGTGCAAAATCTGGTGTCGTTTATGAAATTGAATGCATGGAGTGCTCTGCCATCTATATCGGTGAGACCGGACGACCATTGAGTGTACGGATTAACGAACATCTAGCTAGTAAAAAGAGGCAAAGCATGATAAGTCCGCTGGGAAAGCATAGAATGATGGAACATGGCGGTGCCGATTACGAAATTAGGTGCAAAATTCTGGGCTACGAATAACAAATTTCTGCACGAAAAGCCTTAGAAGCATCCTACATTCTTGTCCGAGACCCGAAACTAAACAGCAAGAATGAGAAATTATCTTTGACGAGTGATCTACTGGCGTATCTGTCGTTCTGTGAACTATAAGAATGTTTGCCCATATATAAGCAACATTGTGTCATCTTGGTCAGCTCATTTGTCGCATTCGGTCACAACAGCTGACACATCGAGTGGCTATCCGCTGCAACACGGTGATACATTTGGTGGGTGCACAGCTCCTCCTGAACTCTCTATTTTCACTTGAGACGAATCGAATGGCAGCTAGGATGAGGTGTTTGGCGGCTCAGAACGTGTATCACTATAACTGACACCTTTTCAGCCTCTGAAGACGGCGTCCTGCCGAAACGTCAGGCAATAAAATTGTATCACCATTAACAACCTGTATACGGCACAGCAAAGTAATTGGAATTGTTCATACCAAGAGAAACCATGCCCAGGTTCAAAGATAAGAGAACTTACAAGAAAAAGTAAAACTTTTTCTGCATTGCCGTGTGGTGATAAAGCAGACCCCGTGGAATTAAAGCAACCTGCAAGCAGATAAAATTAATGTCAGTATGACATTCTAACTTTTTTGATAAGAAAAAAGCAAACGAAAGTAGTTTTTTGAACTAAGTCTGCAAACTATCTGTGAGCGTTTCAGTGCATACCAAAGCTATGAAAAAATCCTTTCATTTCACCTTGTTGCGCAACATTGTTTTGTAGTGAAACTAGTTGAATAATTTCGTGGAGCTTTCGCATACTACTGCAACGGATTGCACTG